GTTGGTCTCCACAGCTCTGTGATATAATTATCATCAAGCCCATTTAGTATAGAGGTATAGTGAGGTTCAACAAAAAATAAAATAAAATAAAATAAATAAAATAAAATAAAATAAAATAAAATAAAAAAGACAGTTCTTTGAAGTCTTTGGGAGTCCAGACAGCACTACCTCTTCCTTTCCTTGTTTCCCAAGGAGGAGGTGCTTTCAGGCTGGAATTGACCTGGAAGCCTCCTCCCTGAAGATTAGTTCTCATGTAAGCTGTGAAGGGAGAAAACCAATCAATGGTTCTACCCAGCGGTAAAGCCTAATAAGCAACAATGACTGACCCGGAAAACTATTACTATTGGTGCAGTAGTGGCACTTTTATCTTGGGGTTAATCAACAAAGTCCAATTGGAATTAAGGCCCACTCAATGGGAGACAATGTGTGGTACTTTAAACATAGCCAAATACATATAACTGGAGAGGTCATAGATCCCAGAGAAAAACCTGCTTTGCCACATCCTTAGACAGACATAATTTCTTGCTGCATTCTAAATATGCATCCTTATATTTACAATAAATGTACCTCTCACCACTTATCAAAGAAGCCTCTTTTTGCAACAGGTGGAGACTAACACAGAGTTGGGTAACTGGCCAAGCACAGAGCATAATTGTCTGTGAGACTCAGCCCTAAGTGACACATTTTCAGTGCAACCTCTACATATAAGATGAATGCATCTTTCAACTCTCACCAGAGCGGTTTCCTTATATAGCAGATGGTGATTAACACAGAAATCTACAACTGGCCAATGTGTAGTGAACAAGAGGCTTCAGAGTGCTCATCCTTAAATAGGGAACCTATATCAAACTTCTGCTTTTTAGGCTCAGAGATCATTGCAGAAGAGGGGGGGTAAAGATTGTAAGAGTCAGAGGTGGTAGATGGCCACAAGGAAGGAGAGTTTTCCAGACATCTGGTCAGTTACTCATATGAAGTCACATCAATGGAGACAGCATGCACAAGTCCCGTGCAAGCTCAAACAAGACAAAATCCCAGTACAGACATTGGGAAGGGGTAAGAAATACCAACACAATCAAAGAAACTTTTGGCAATTGATGGCTGCTAGAAGGGAAAGAGACATCTCTTACAGGGATGGGACTCTTGGTTGGTTGATCATGCTCCAATGGATGGACCCATGCTGAGGGACATCGGGGACATAAATCAGACTCTATAGGCTGTATTGTATCCATAATGAAGAACATTGAATTGGGCATGGGGGCATGGGGGAGAGGAGGATGGGAGAGGGAATCTAAACATTATCAAATTATACTGTATGAAAATTGCAAAAATTCAATAAAATTTTTTTAAGAAAAAGAAGATGAAGGCCTGGAGAGATGGCTCAGTGGTTAAGAGCACTGGCTGTTCTTGCAGAGGACCTGGTTCAAGTCCCAATACCCACATGGTGGCTAACAACTGTCTGTAATTCCAGTTCCAGGGGATCTGATGACCTCTTCTGTCCTCTGTGGGCATTGCATGACATGGGTGCACTTACATACATGCAGGCAATACACTCATACACATAAAATAAAAACAATAAATAAGATATTTTTGAAAAAGATGAAATCCTAGTCCTAGAAGACTGATGTGTGCCATAGGACTGATTCTAGGCTCTGCCTAAGGGACCCTGTGCACTAGCTGCTCACTGTCATGAGGTTCTGAGGTAACCCAATCCCACTAGTTCTTATTCCAGAAAAAAAACACCGATAATTGTCAGAATGCTCTGTAGTAAGAATGTCTTTACAATACACTCCCAGTTTTCCCTATACTATGACTGAATATATTTCTCTAAACCTCATGTTGAAACCTAATCCCACTGAAGTTGTGTTAAGTGGTAGGAAGGAACCTTTGGGAGTGGTTAGGTTATGAAGACTCTGACTTTACAAATAGGATTAATAATTAATACCAGTATAAAAAAGCTGAAGGTAGAACCCCAGCCTCCTCTGATCTTCTGCCATGTGAACACGGAGCAAGAAGGTGCCATTTTTGAACCAGAGGGAACAACCCCTTACCACGTGAAACCTACTGATACCTTGATCCTGAGCTTACCAACTTACAGAACTATAAGAAATCAATTTCTGTTATTTGTAAATAGCCCAGTCTAAGATACTTTGTTATAGCATCCCTAATGAACAAAGACAGCTTACCCCTTGAACTTGAGAGGCATCTGAAGCAAGCCTTGTTGTCAGTACTCCAGGGTTATTTCTGATATCATCAAACCAGCCAATGTCTTGTCCTAACATTGCCTGGAAGCCAAATTTACGCAACCTTTTTGTGAGGAACTCCCCAGATTTAGCAAAATTGTATCCCTAAAACACAAGAAAGAGTCTTTAGTGATATGATATTTTAACATGAAAATAAGTGGAAACAGACAAATCACTTGATGAAAAACATGACTTCTTACCTGCAGAAATTGGGTGAAAAAGGATACACAGCCCAGGATTACAAAAAATATGCACATGCCATAAATCTGTGACTTTTGTTCCTCTCTATCAGGTAGTGAAAAAGCCTTTGGAAGATAATAAGCAAGGAAGAAACTTTATTATTATGAACAATAGTGAAATAAATAATTTAAGTACATGCAGATAAATTTTCTTAATACATAATTTCCCATTTGTCCAACTCCATGGAATGCACTGGGAGAGGGACCCTCAGTATCAATATATACTAAGGACTGGGGGATTGTGACTTGTCAATGCAGATCATCAACTATATTGACTATACCAGGATGGTAGGGGGATGCCGATGAGGGGGAAGGTCAAGGGGAATGGGAAATCTCTAACTTTCTTTTAGTTTTGCTGTAAAATTAAATTGCCTTTGAAAAAAGCTTTAAAAAGTGATTTCGCTTTAAACATACTAGTATGAACACTATGATGATATGATGATGTATTTTTAATCTTCTGTAGGGAAAGATGCCTGGAAAATTAAAACCAATGCCAACAGTTCAAGAAGTTGTTTGTTGTTGTTGTTGTTGTTGTTGGTTTTTGCTGTTGTTTTGTTTTTTCTTAGCCAGATTTAAGCAATGGTGTTGGCTTTCTCTGACACAGATGAAAAAAAAAAGATGATCAAATAACATAAATCCTTTAAATATTAAGACAGAAAAAGAGAAATGAAGAAGAGAAGGAGGAAAGGAAGGAGGGAGAGGGATTCCTGAGACTCTGAGAATGTTAGTCCAAGGTAAAACACAGGTATCATTTTAACCTTTAATGTTTGAATAATTGATACAAGAAGAATGACTTTTAGATTGGGGTACCTTATCTATCACTAGTTTATACATATAAATTAGTTTATAAATATAAAATACTTGCTATATATATTTGTTTAAAAAAGCAACCAAGGGGTTAGAGAGATGGCGTAGTGGTTAAGAGCTGACTGCTCTTGCAGAGGACCCCAATACACTCATACACATAAAATAAAAATAATAAATAAAAAAATATTTTAAAAGCAACCAGGTATTCAGGATTAGTTAGAATTAGCATAGCAAAAGTAAACAATTAAATCAAACTGAGCCTGAGGTTGTTGCCTTATAGGCAACTGAAAATATTCTCCCCTTAAAAACTATGGAAATTGTGACTAGAGTTTTTAAAGTCTGTTTTGACTAGAAAATGATATTCATGAATACAAGATGAATGTACTGACAGTTGCTTAAGTAACTAATTGAGAACCAAGCTGTTGCAATATGAAAACAGAATAACTTCCACTAGCCATGCACTTGGTGAAATGAATTTTAGTTACAAAACCTTTGTAATTCAGACTACATAAAGAAACTAGGAGAATTCAGGAAGTGTGTGTGTGTGTGTGTGTGTGTGTGTGTGTGTGTGTGTGTATTTTAGTTCCTCTTTTTTTTTTTTTCTTTACAGGATCTTTCACTGACCTGGAGCTAGCCAATTTGTCCACGAGATCCAACGATGCTCCTGTCTCCACCTCTCCAGAGCTAGGATTACAAGTGAGCCATCACCAGACCCAGCTTTTTTAGGTGGGTTCTGGGGATTGAACTCAAGGTCCTGATGCTTTCATGGTAAGCATTTTATCAATGGAGTTATCACCTAGGTCCAATAGCTCTGAAGTAATAATAACTAGAACAATGCAACATATAGTTGCTCAAAATCCCATTTATTCAATACATATTTGCTGAGTGCCTACTATGTGCCACATAAATCTTCCTGAAAATAATATGTACACTTTATAAGTGAATCTTTCTGTGAAGCAAAAATAAGCTGTTCCAAGGTTGAACACAAATGTCAAAGTAGGGAGAGAGGTTCTAAATTAATGAGATCTAACTATTTCTAGGACAGTTTCCATGGTCTTTATTGTTCCTATAAAATGGGTTCTAAGACACCACAATAATTTTTTCCAGCATAGTGTAACCAGTTCACTGAGCTTGCAAATTCAAGAATTTGAGGAGTTTTAAAAAATAACTACACAAATATCCTTGAAGCCCCAAACTGTGATGCCATAAGAGCCATTCCTTCCAAAGGCCACTCACAAAGCTATGAATTACAGATGAGCCCACTTGACTCTTGTTTTTAAAGATGGAAAACTAAATCCTCAAACACTGAGTCATTTTCCTACATCAATTCTTCCAGGGGTTATTCTTGGATAAGGAAGTGTCCAGCTTCCAGTGCAGTGGTTTTCCTCTGGGCATGTTCTTTGGTGTACAGCTTTATCCACCTTCTCAAAGTTCAGAAAGGGTAGTTGGCTAATGTTAAAATCCACAGAGCCATTCTAGAGCTTGCTGACTCCCATGTCTATGTTTTTTTCCAGCATGCTTCATCCAGTTTGCAGTGGCTTAACACTTGGCATATTTTCCAAGCCAAACAAACAAAGGGAAAGGGAAACAGATAAATTATACAGTTGTATATTGAGGCTTAGGTAGATTAGAAACCAGGCTCCTACTTGGCACAATTATCTGTGGGGCACATTCCCCTCAGTGCGGTCTCAGTACACCGCAAGTGGATGCAATATCATCTAAGGATGCCAGAATGAAAATAGAGCAATTAGAAACAAACTCGTGATACCTTGTAAGGTAAAAGCATCATGAGTTTACTGATGAACTTGTGAGCTTCACTATCAGAGAGGAAAGATAGTGGTTTGTTCAGCTTCATTCTCTTAGTGAATGCAACTCTCTATGAACATTAATAAATCAACTCAGGGTGGATTTCACCAACTAGATCCTGCCCTTGGTGAAAAGCTTGATTGCTCGGTCTGACTCCACCCTTAAGACTTCTGGTACTGACCAGAAGAACCATAGAAATGCACTCTCCGTCTGGGATAGACTGGTAGCCAACGAGGGCAGGACTTCTTGCTGAATCATCATTTTTCCTGACTTGGCTAATTCATCACCCACTAGAATTGGATGATGTTCTCAAGATCATCTTTGTCAGCCCTAATTTTATAATTGAGAAACTGAGTCCCAGGGAAGTGGGAAAATGTGACTCCAGGGCACAAAGGCCATGATCAGAAAATGACAGAGCCAATTTCAGGGAAAAGTTCTCTTGGGACCCAAGACTCTTTCTAAAATAGCTAATATAGACAGTCTGGGTGAAGTTGAATGAACATATTCTTGAACAAAAGTGGAAACTTTTGTTAGATTAAATAGATCACCAGACCCAGATACACCACTCCTGAGCATATACCAAAAAGATTCTGCTTCTTACTATGGAGATACCTGCATATTCGTGTTCACTGCTACTCTATTCACAATAGCTAGGAAATGGAATCAGCTCAGATGTTCAAAAAATGAAAACTTGAAGAAAACAAGTAGAAATGGAAAAAAATATTATGCTGAGTGATATAATCCAGGCTGAGAAGACAAACATCACATATTCTCTCTCATATGGGGATCTTGGCTTTGAATTTTTAGATTTGTATGTTTAATTTGGAGTATCTGTAGAGGCCAGGAAACTAGAAAGGGCCCATGATAGGAGAGGAGGGGAAACTAAGAAACTGGGGTGAAGGGGGGAAGAGGTCATAAAGTGGAAGGTAATAGTACAGCACATGTGTTATGCAGCAATTTCCTCTGGAATAAAACCTGTCTTGGACTGAAACTCTTAAAGACACAGAATGCTCCAAAAGGGGGTGAAATGACAGGATGACAGGATGATTTGAGGGGATGTGAAACATTCTATCCTGTAGGGAAGCTCCTTAAGGCCAGGAAGTAAACAATGCAATAGCTTCAGGAAGTCCCTGAAACTGACCAGGTTCACTAGGTTCCTCCTTCCTTATTCAAGCAGTAAGGACTGTTGAGAGAATTCTCTGAGCAAAACTGGCTAGAAGACTCTGGCACTAGATGAGCTGCCCAGAAGACTGGGATCATCCGAGCAGCACAGAGTAAGCAGGGGCCAGCTGGACTGCCTGAAGAAGCAGAGGCCAGGCAAGCTACCTGGAAAAGGCATTCTCCAACCTGTTGAGCTGCCTGCAGGTTGTGCAGTACCTCCAGGCTCCTACTTTCATTAGCTCTCATCCATGCTTTGGTGGGCGTTGGGGATATAGCTGGAGTCATTTCTGCTCCCATAAGTAACCCCTCATCCACAGTTGTGTAAGTAACCCCAATAAAACTCACTAGTTCACCAAGTTGGACTTTGGTGGTATCCTGATTTAGGTCTGTGGTTCCCTATCTGGGCTTGAGTAGATGTTTGTTCACATGCCTCTCCCCCCACCCCGCCCCGTAGTGTCACACACCATGTAATATGAAAGAAAGGGGGGATAATGGTAGTGAAAAAATTTAAGTGAGAATGTGGGGGAGGATAGAAAAGAGGAGTAGGTTGAAGGGGAGGGTTAACAAAACTAAGGATGGGTGAGGGGCTGGAGAGATGGCTCAGTGGTTAAGAGCATTGACTGCTCTTGAAAAAGACCCGAGTTCAATTCCCAGCACCCACATAGTAGCTATGAACCATCCTTAACTCCAGTTCCAGAGGATTCTGAAGCCTTCTTCTAATCTCCACAGCATTGCACAACACGGGTGCATTCACATACATGCAGGCAATACACTCATACACATAAAATAAAAATAACAAAATTTTTTTTTCAATTTTAAAAACTAAGGGTGAGCGAAAAGCCCTAATGGAAACCTACTTGTAAGCTAATTTTAAAAACATATAATTTACCTGCTGTGGTGATGCACATCTTTAATACTAGCACTGGGGAGGCAGAGTCAGGCAGATCTCTGTGACTTTGAGACTAGCCTGAGCTACATGAGTTTCAGTCTTCCTAGGGCTATATAGTGAGATCCTGTCCCAAAAATTTTTTTTAAATAAAATAAAAATATAATTTAAGAAAAGGAATTTGAACCAAGATATCCTGCTTGGGTGGCTAATGCTGCTCCCAGAAGTCATAAGTTATTAAAACAGGTGCCAGGCATGGCAGTTTTGAGTTCTTGGTCAAGAAGGCCTCAGAGCTCACCAAAGCAACACAGGCTATTGCATTGCTCTTCATTACACACCAGAGCTAGGTGGTAAGACCCTATTGTTGACCAGGTATGGTAGTGCACGCCTTTAGTCCCAGCACTTAGGGGGCAGAGGCAGATGGATCTCTGTGAGTTCCAGGCCAGCTGGGGCTACAGGGAGAAAAGCTTCTTCCCTACGGGGCACTTTCATGATGCTGTAAAGGTACTATGGCACATTGCTGGGGGAAAAAAGTCATCTATGATCTTATATAGCATTGGACCCCACATGCTAAAATATTAACCTGCCAGGCAAGGTGTGCCCACTGGTACAATAATGCATGACTGCTATAGAGGTAATCAGCTACTGTCTGATTGGATCTGAGGCCTGATCCATAGGAGGGAATTAATGTCTAGTACTATAAACCTAGACAAAAACTCATGGCTGGGGCAGTTATAAGCCCTAGGGAGAAAACCTTCTACTGTCATTTTACTAAATGGACATGTTGTCAATCTGCTTTCTAAATATTTACATCTATGCCCCAAAATTAGTGCTACTCTCAAACTTGGTCAGAGATGCTTCACTTGCAGTGGGCAGCAGTTTATGAAGACTTATAACTAGTCAAAGTGCTGAGAACAAGTGACTGTGGAGTGCTCAGCCCTAAACAGAACATCTGTATCACCTCCCCACCCCTACCAAGGCTTAGGAAACATCACGGAAGAGGGGGCAGAAAGCACATCAGAGCTGGACGATGGGGAGGAGTGCTGTGAAATGCTGTCTTTTGGATGTGACATGGGTGTTGCACTCACGAATTCCCACTAGCTGTGGTCACCTGCACAAGATCAAGCCCATCAACATTCCAGGATTGGGGAGAGGCTCATGAAACCCCACCCCTAGCTGAGGTGCTATTGGCAGTTAATGGCTGCTGGAGGTTGGGGGAGTCATTTTTCTTCAGTCATGTATTCACTGGTAAGTTGCCACGCCCCAGTATGTAACGCCCACATGTGCTCATGAAAGCAACCTTAATTAAATTCAGTGGGTCGTTGGTAGAAAGCATGAAAATAGAAGGACTTGGGAAGAAGAAGGGGTTCAGAGGAATGGGAAGGAGCTAAGAGAGATGAATACATTATATACATGTATGAAATTGTCAAGTATATAAATAATTTTGAAAAGAGAAAACTAGTAACAAGCAGAAAGTCTAGATTTCTTTTTAAAAAGCATAGGCTTTGATCTTTTAGACTCACCCCTATGTTTTCTCTTAACATACACACCTGGTTGCTCAGGAGATCCATCTTTAGAGCCTCTCTCTGCTAGAGTGGCAGATGGAAAAGGCAGAGAAAGGCATTATCTTGTCCCTCACCCCAGCCCAACACCAGCAACAGTATTCAGCCAACAATAAACCACTGATAAATATTTGTTGGGTGGTGAGTGGTTTCTTTATGTTTGATGACAGTCTTCCTCATAACCCGGGAACTCCGCTGGAGAAGCTACCATAACAGTCAAGTCCCTAGCATGATGTCTAAGGGAGACAATCTATAAATGTTTGCTAGTGAATAAAAGAATGTTTCTTTATATTTGGATACTATGCCTACTAGGGAATTAAAATATGCATTAAATATTCATACTTTAAAGATTTCAGTATAAAGGCTGTGGCACCATATAACCAGAAGTTAAACTAATTAGAGCTGTTTACAGTTTCATACCTCCCTGAAGTAACATGATTTCTTTGTTTAAAAGTGACTGGGGACATTTCTACACAGTTTTTTTACTTGTGGATTATCCAGGTCTTTCTGTATCAGTTGTGCTTGTAGGGACATTTGTTATGAGAGGTGACAAAAGAGGAGTGCAGAAGAGGGAACTAAATTGGAAGTTTTTCTTAGGTATTGCTCTCTGAAAGTGTGGTATACTGGCAGTCTTCAGCTATATCACCTTGAAAAAATTGACAATGTTCTTCAGGGTTTAGGTTTTTTTTGTTGGCGAGTGGGGGGTGTTTCAAATGAGAAAATACAATAGCATTTTGATAACTAATTTTGTGATAATAAGGTGTAATCACGGCCTGGCTGGCTGAATTTGAGTCTACCACTTGCTATGCTAAGTTCTCCGAGCCTTTATAAAATGGCAATAGAAAGAATCCAGGCATCTCATGGTTACTAGGAAACGTAAATGAAGATGAAGTGTTTACGTGATGCCTAATAAATGTTTGTCATCGTTGCTATAGCAGTAGTCAGATGGAGAATAGCAAAGCTCCTAGGAAGTGAAAACCTGAAGTAAGTTGATTCTTTCTCCCTGCTGTATTTTACATCTTTCTTCTTTTCTCACTTCCTCCCTATTTCAATGCAATCAGCAGCAGAGCAGAAAATTACACCTGACAAACTACCAGCTGTGATAAGTCAAACTTTGTGCTTCAGCATTTCAGCAAGATTAAAATTTACCCTAAAAACCTTTTGTATTATTTAACAAATGTGCTTCGCACATAGGCAAACTACCCTCTTTCGAGCCTCAATCTGTAGCTAAGATGTCTTTTAAAAAAAAAAAAAAAAAAAAAGATAGGTGTAAAGACTATAAGTCTTGCTAACCCATATAGGAGAGCTTAACTTCACCCTCTCACTTTCTGTGTGATGGAGACCCAGTGAATTTTTCATGATTTAGAACTGGGGGGGATAGCAAAAAAGAGCTAAGTGTGTTAAAGCACAGGGTTAATCTGCCAAATATAGTATTAGCCACTGATTCAAAAGCACAAGGTATGATCAAAATAAAGCTAGCCCAGCTCCTTGCTTACCCCAAGAATCTGGCTGAATACAAATGAATACATTGGCGTGACTGCCCCGTTAACTGCTGCACTCAAAGCCCCGACCAGCATGTAGTGCCATTCTGGGGCATTGAATTTCAGAATCCTCCTAATTGGGGCAGGTTTAACTTCTTCTGCAGGAATATCCTTGTCCTTAGGGAAAAGGAGAATTACATTAATCATCCAGACATATACATAGACACTTTGCATATATCCTTTATAGCAAACTCTTTGGTATTCACGGGTTTAAGAGGTATAGGTTGGTTATGAGTGACTGCACAAATCTGTGACCTCTGGTGGCTTGTTTACTGGTATTGCTTGAGACTGTCATGGCTGGAGTGGGAGCTCCCACCAGAGGGGGAATTTATAATGCTCATTTCACAATCACATATGGATTAACTCTCAAAGAGTAATAAGTGTGTTGGGTCTTTGAGAATAATAAGTCCTCATTTAAAAAACAACTTTGCTATGTGTATACATGAAAACCTGAGAAGGTTTCAAGATACGCTTTACATAAATATCAAGCAAGATTTTCTAACCTAGTGACTGGTTAAAGCTCTCAGGCAGGACAGCACATCAGAGACACTGCATTTTAAACAAGGTACAGGTAGCATTTACTCCTCTTTAGTAAGATTTTCCTTAGTGAGCTCTCACAAGTGTGATGCTGCATCGGGATTTCTAAATTGCACATTTTTTTCCCACAGAGAACAATTAGGACGTTCCCATTTTGATCTTTGTGGTTGGCATTAAAATACCGCAGCGTGCACATTTTTCACTTGAAGGAAAATATTATGCACAGACCCTCATTGTTTTATCTTTCATCTTTTTTACCATTAATATTATTCAATGTTTAGTCTTTAGGTCTGTTTAGTCAATAATTTTTTTAGTTTATTACCCACTCTGGGAAAGGATTCTAGGTGCCTCCCCATGACTCCTTTCCTATAGCACACACATTACTTTAAGCTGGTATTGATTTGTTTTAACTTTTCTATTAAAACATACTAAAAATATCTGCAGAAAATAGACTACAAAATGATTAATGAATCTTTTACTAACATTAATTTAACCTCTAGGTAACAGGAACAGATAGCAGCACCAATCTTTAAAAACATTCCCTTCACTTAAACAAAGTCAAAGACCACATTACCAATTCAATTTAAATGAAAGGCTGGAGTGATGCCCACTGGTAATGAAATTGTCATCGCCTCCCTTTCAAGCTCTCTCAGCTGCCTTCAACACTTGCAATTTGTCACTGCTGCATACTCACACAGCAAATCTTCCCGCTCAATTGTTCCATCTCTAACAGTTTACTAACCTCAGGCCATTCATGCCAGAAGAGAAGATGCCTGAAAAAGAACACGTGTGGCCAGCAAAGGAAAATCAGGGTTCTTGGGAGAGCCCCGTGTGGCCACCAGTGGACTATATCACTAAGTGCTTCAGTTCGCTGGTCCTCAGCTACTTTATCATTAAAATGAAGGTGTCCATCTAGGTTGCTGGGGGAGACATTTTGTCTATGTCTGTCACACTTCTGCACAAAAGACACTGACTACCTTTGTTCAGATTGTTTTTCAAGGATGCTTGTCTGGCAAACTGTGTTGGAAGACAGAGATAGTGCCTTTGCTTCAAGCATTAAGCCCATCTGTCCATTGTAGAAGAGACAGGCTTCCCATGACTCCTCTCCTATAACACACCTTAATTCATGCTACCTTCTTGCCTTCTTTGCATCTCCTTGTGGGAATTGGGGCTGAAGTGGGAAACCAGTGCAAAGATTCCAAATTGTGGCTGTTGTTATTGCTCCGAGTAGTTCAATTGCTCTAATGGATTCCACCTACATTCATAGGATTGTGTCAGACTAATTAGATGGCTTACAATAAGGCAAAATTGACCTTTATAGGTCTTGATAGTCCAGATCTGGATGCTCACAGACTCATAAAGTTTGATGATTAAAACAGATTTCTGTAACTCAGTCTCATTCCAAGCTTTCACTTTAGTAGGGCTTATATATGAATATAAGTTTAAAAAATATTCCTCAGTTAATTCTGGTGATCTAAACTCTCTTTGTGAGAACCTCAGTAGTACACAGTCTCCAAGACTTCTCCTGCCACTGAATGTCTGAGATTCTATAATTACACACTTCTTATGTTGGTCGTGATGTACCATTTACAAGCGTTTCCACACTGGTGAAGACTTGTTAACATTCACTGAATTCTGCCTGTTCCCTATGGACATTGAATATTCTAGGACTGCCACCCCACAGGATGGTTGGTCTATCCACAGTCTGATAAGATGGAACCTTTTCTCACTTTCTTATACTGAAGGTATCCCTAACCTTAAGCAATGAGATATTTAAGTTAAATATAAAGTATTTTTGTCTGGAAGTTTTCATTTCAAGATAAACTAATCAACAAAAATAGTTAACTTGAATAATTTTGTCACCTTAAACTAAAAAAAATTTTGCCTTAAAGGAAATTATACCCAGCTTCACCAAATGCAAACCAAGTGATGCAAAAACTAGGAAACCTGTCTCCAAACAGTAACTTTTGATTGAATTTTATTTGCTACATGAACAGTAGAGGAATAAAAGAAAACTATATAAAATATATCTAAAGTCATTCTATTAAAAACTCAGCAGTTTCTCACTTATGTAAATGGTTCAGTGCTTGACACAGAGCTTTTCCTGGTTTTCTTTCTTATTAAAAATATATTCTATTATTTTTATTTTATGTGTATGAGTGTATTGCCTGCATACATGTAATGTCTGTCATGCAATGCCCACAGAGGTCAGAGTGGGGAGTCAGATTCCCCAGGAACTGGAATTACAGTTTTCAGCTGCCATATGGGTGCTGGGAATAGAACACGGGTGCTCTGCAAGATCAGCCAATGCTTTTAACTGCTGAGCCATCTCTCCAGCACCCCCTGGTTTTCTCTGTTATATTTGATGTGTGGGCCAGGGAAAAATAGGACTTTCCACTGGAACTTTAGGTCCTGCTTCCTATACTTTGCTAGATTGGTTTCTGATTTTTTTTTTTTTTTCGGTCTTTCTGAGACAGGGTCTCCCTGTAGCCCCAGCTGGTCTGGATTTGCTATGGAGACCAGGCTGGCCTCGAACTCACAGCGATCTGCCTGCCTCTGCCTCCCGAGCGCTGGGATTAAAAGTGTGTGCCACCACGCCCAGCACGGTTTCTGAATTTTTAAAAAATTTTATTTATTATTTTTATTTTGTGTATATGAGTGTATTGCCTGATGTGTATAAGTGCACCCATGTCATGCAATGCCTGCAGCGGTCAGAAGAGTACTTCAGATTTCCCGGAACTGCAGTTATGGACAGTTGTTAGCCACCATATGGATGCTGGGAATTGAACCTGGGTCCTCTGCAAGAACAGTCAGTGCTCTTGACTGCTGAGCCAACTCTCCAGCCCTTGGTTTCTGAATTTTAATCAACAGGCCTCTCCTGCCTTGATATCAACTTTAAGTTTTGATGATAAAAATGGTACATATGACAAAGAACCCAAATTTTTCCAAATGAACAAAAACTGGCAGCCATTTTTATTGGTCCTATCTCTGCCTTATCTCTAAGATAGGAGTAAATCCTTTAAGTCTGCAGTGATGACGTTACAGGTATCTTACAGCTCATCCAGACTTGATTCGTATACATTCCATCTGATTTGCTTTTAGTTTTGCTAAAAAAAGATTCCTGGACTAATTAGAGACTGAAATCTCTACTCTGCAGGCTTCCCCTAACCCTAAACTCAGCCATCTCAGGATATCTAATCTCTGACCCCATTTATGAGAATTAAAGAATCAGCATGGAGAACAGGAAGAAAGGACTTAGCTCCATGACAGCTAGCTGAGCCTTGGGAAGAGTGACCCCAAGTAGGCGCTGGAAACACAGACTTAAAAAAACAACAGAACTTCATTTCTTCTAAGTGTTTAGTAAGCACTCTGAGAGACCACAAGGTGGAGATAAATGCTTTGTACAAGTAGATCTTTAGCAACACAGGAGAACGTCTCCCAATCCACCGAAAGTAAGAGAGGCCTTCTTCATCAAAATGAGAAATAAACAAGAATCTCATCAGTGCTTTGGCTGCAGAATCTGATTAAGATACTACTAAACTCAGATACTACTAAACTACTAAAACTCAGCTACACCTTTTCATTCAGTGCTCCTTGGGATTAAAAATTCCATTGAAAAAAAAAAAAAAAAAAAAGAAATTCTGTCAGCCAAATTTTGTTATAATTCTACTTTTTCCTTTAACAAATCCTTCAGAATTAAAGGATTCTAATACAGTTATTGTATAAACAAGTAATATTAATAGAAGAACTTTTCCTTGTAGAGCTTTAACAAAATAATATTGGCCTCCCCCACAACTTGTTTTCTTTCTTATATCTTCCTTAACTAGAGAAAATATAAAATGGCATCCTTAAAAAATTGTACTAGGTAACATCTACGTGATTTCAATTGTTTTGTTCCTAGCAGCATGAACATAAATGAAATAGTCACTTCCAGAAGAGGATCTGAGTCTTTAATGGCAAGGTGCAGTGAGAAAACATGCTGAAAGAAAGTATGTTCTCTCATGATTTATTCTGCCACTCGAAGAAAGACTATTCTATGGAATTTACTGAAAGCAATTTATTAAATATTGAGACCTTTATTTATACAATAATACTATATCAAGACAAAAGCAAGCCTTAAAAATCCATATTTCACAGACATAAGATCTTAAAAAGTATCATAATTTGTCCAAATTTTTTTCACTGTGAGCCAGTGTTTGTAATGATATCTTAATGGATTCTTAAGTTGGAATGACATTTTGAAACTACATTGTACATATCAATGTGCTTGTAATTAAAATATTTCCTGGCTTATTTGCTTTAATACAGCTTAGAGTTTTGGCTCCATTTTTTAATCACAGAAACTCAATTTTTCATTCTAGTTTAAAAAAAAAAATCCCTTGATATCCTTCCTACTTGATGCAAGACACCAGGCAAGTGTCTAAAGTAACTCAGTGCAGACAGAATGAGGTCACTAAGTCTAAGAAGCCTGTAATTTAGTGAGAGAACAAGACATCGTGACTTCAAAAATAAAGAGAGCTCCATGAAGAGGTTCTAATGAAGTACTGATAGGGGACTAAAAGTGAGAGTATCCAGGCTAGGGAAGTTTGGGGGTGGACAGATGGTCCCCATATGAGAAAGATGATGTCCATCCACACCAGAAAAATGTCTGCATCTTCACAAGTGGATCTCTATAACTTAAAAATGTGGTAACACATATAAAGTCTAGTTTTATTCAATGCCTTTGCTGCTTAACATTTTTGCCAATGTTATTATAGTCTAAGAGAATGTTTTAAAATGTGAGGGAAAATAATTTTAGGGTATTTTTTTTCAGGCAGGGTCTCCCTATAACCCTGACTGACCTGGAACTTGCTATGTAGACCAGGCTGGCCTCAAACTCACAGAGATCCACTATCCGGCATTCACCACCATGCCAAACTAGAGCATTCTTTAAAGGAAATAAGTTGTTATGTACATTTAAGAAACATATTTACTGCTTTCTAAATAATTATTTATCCAAAATTATTTGGGCTGGAGAGATGGCACAGAGGTTAAAGAGCACTGGTTGCTCTTGCAGAGGACCCAGCTTCACTTACCAGCACCCACATGGTAACTAACAACCATTTATAACTTCAGTTCCAAGGGATTCTACACCCTCTTCTGACCTCCATGGGCATTACACAATACTGTGCGCTTATCCATATGCAGGCAATACATGCATACATATAAAATAAAAATAATAAAATTAAAAAAAATTATTAACTACCCCTTAAGAGCTCAGTTTTAGTTAACATACATTTTTCAAAGTAATTAATTAAGGAATCTGTTTCTTTTTTAAAAAATTGTATAAAATTTAGAGTTTTCACTCTAAATTTTCTAATGTTTCATTTATTTAGTCTGACTTAGTAAACCCTATACCTAGGAAATACATATACTTTAATGTACAGAGCACCCCAGGCAAAACTTCCCATTCCCCATGAGCAGTGAATGCCTGACCTTGCTGTCTTCGTAAGTAGACTTATGATCAACAATAGCCAACGGAGGTTCGTGTGTCAGGCCAGAAATCTGAGACTTGGAGCGTTCCCGGAGGGAAGCCCTGTAAACAAGGAGCAAGATGGGACAGGTTGCTGAGGGCGGGCAGGTTACAACAGGACTCACTGGTGATTTAAGTTTACATCACATATCAAATAAACAGAAATATTTGGTAGGCCACATGGCAACCGGGACAGGGAGCTTCTAAGTTCGGTTTGATGAAGCTTGTTTGGGGTCAGGGTGAACTGAGTAGATTGCTGTGGACCCCAAGCTCTGTAACTACTGAACCCAGACTCAGTGTGTAACCAGAGAGGGAGAACGTGAACAGCCCCAAAGTTGTGTGCCACTTTTCACTGCAAAGAAAAACACCTAATGTGGGAAATAAATACTCTTTCTCAATATTATTATTTAGGAAATTATTTTCTGTTACCAATTAACTTATTCTTGAACCTAAAATACATTGCTGAAGAGGGACTCAGCTATGAGAAAGACTACAGCTAAAGAAGCAAGATGCAAATTAGCATTTCATTTAGACATCGTCTAGAAAGACTTGTCAGTGCACACAATGAGATATTTTTAATAGAGATGCTTCGTATTCAAAGTTATAAATCTTTCTCTGCAGGGGGTTAATAGCTACTTTCTCTGGGTACATTGTATTTCTATTTTTTAAAATCCTAGTCACTAAAATGTAGAATTTGTGGGAAATATAACCAAATAAGAGGTATTTATATGAAAATGGTTATTTGTTTCTCATTACAAACTACTTACAATGGATAGAATTTTGTTTCTCTTAAAAGTTAACAAACCATTTATTTTCTTGTTGGCATCATTATAAGAGATATCTCATTTTAATCTACGAGGTGCATGTTCATTTTTTGCATTCAAGAAGGTAGTTGTTATATTCAGATTTGCAACCCTGTTACTCTTATAATTTTAATATTTTACTCACGATGAAAAATCCTGCCAGGATCAAAATATTACCACATATGTATAAAATTTGCTTAACAATTTTGATAATTTTTTAGCTTTTATTTTATGAGTAACTCAAAGCTATTCCTTTATTTTCCAAACTCAATAAAGCAAGCATTTCTTTAACAAGTTTTTTTCAGTAGATTTGTTCAGAAGAGAGAAGCAAAAAGAAAACAACTAAGTTTGAGGATTTAGATTTATAAAGAAAAGATGCACTAGAGCCCGAATCACCCATCTGTATTTTCAGATAAGCACAAATACTTTTAGTGAATTATTCTTTGAGTGCGAACAATAAATAAGTCTGTTTGACTACTTAAAGTTGTTATCAGAATCCTCTGTCTTAAGCATCTTTAACTCCTTTTCAGGAAACAAGTAGCCATCTTGAATGAGCGAGACCAATAACTGAGTCTTTGCTCTTGAGTACAGCCTTGCATTTAATGTCCTGGGAATGGGAAGTCCAACAGTAGTGACAGCATCAGCCATTACTTATTACTACTTTCTTAACTTACAGGAAAAAAATCTTAACAATATTTTAAATGAATATAGACAAAAATTACTGGACAGAACTCTTAGTATACAATTTTTAACACTAGAGAGCTGGGTGTGGTACCTCATACCTTTAATCCCAGCACTCGGGAGACAGAGGCAAGTGGATCTCTGTGAGACTGAGGCCAGGTTGGTCTACATAGTGAATTCCAGGCCAGCTGGAGCCACAAGGAAACCCTGTCTAAAAAATAAAATAAAAACCAGGAAAATGTTAGTGAAATTCCTCAACCAGGATAAAACACAAGGCTAAAATTTATAGCATACTCCAAAATATGTTTTGAAAGCAAATACCTATGTGTTGATCCAGAGGAAAATAAATACCTCATTTGGGGGACATTTTTCTTTAAAAGTTAAAACATGTTTTATTTCATCCAGTTAAAGAATGATTTGATTTCAGAGAGCTGAAGTGTTCTGTAGTTCAATTGCCTTTCTCTCTCAAGGTTAAGAACAGACCTGAATGGGTGAAGATGGCCTTCATCTAACACAGCATTTCGAATAACAGTTAACTTCAGTGGGGTAAAACCACACACTGGTGTTTATTCGTTTGTTTTCATTTGTTTATTTGTTTTCTCCTGAGATAGGGGTTCACTGTGTAGCCCAAGTCGGCTTTGAACTCCTCCTGCCTCAGCCTCCTAAGGACCACAATACCGTTAACACAAATGTCTTTAAAACTTCCCTTTCTAAGGTCAATAAGCAACACTTTAACCAGAAAGCCCTCCATCATAACTGTCCTCTCAAAGTTGAGAAGGCAAAGTTCAATAAGCCCGTATGTGCTTACTTCACAAGATCTAGGAGTCTACTTAGGGTTTTCCCTATCTCGTGTACCCAAGATATTACCCAAGGTTCACAACTGCAGAAGCCTCCTAAGAATATCAGAAAACTTCGGAATCACATGGTTTGTGCTTACCTTAAACTATTCCTGTAGCTCCCTCTGGTAAAGGTCCTTTTAAGTGAGTCACCCTCAGTTGCATCTTTCCCTATTCAACACAACATGAGCCACACAATAAGCACAGCAGTACTTATGTAGGATTATTTAATATGTTTGCTTGGAAAGCAATTACTGTATCAGATGCCAAAACATCTTATTAACTTTATTGCAGTAAATAAAGCTTGGAACTTGTCTAACAAAAGTGTTAGACATTTTTTTGTCTAACAAAAAATTTCAAATACTCAAGACTGACTCATGTGAAACGTATACTAGCCTTTTCTCTCTGTAGACACAAATATCTCTTAGCATAAATCAGAAATCTAAGGAAAACTCACCAGAGATGGCAAAAGAAATGAAAAGAACAGCACATTTTTCAAAAACTCTATTCAGAACAACTCATGTGGTTTTTTAATTTTTTAAAAAATTTTTATTTTGTGTGTATGCATGTATTGCCTGCATGTAGGTTAGTGCACCCGTGTCATGTAATGCCTGCAGAGGTAAGAAGAGTCTATCGGATTCCCTGGGACTGGAGTTACGGACAGTTGTTAGCTGCAATGTGGATGCTGGGATTCGAACCCGGGTCTTCTTCAAGAACAACCAGTGTTCTTAACTGCTGATCCATCTCTCCAGCCCAAAACTCATGCGTTTTAAACATATGCAGTAGATATGTGGTTCCATGAGTCCAAATGTGAAATGAAGAGGAGAATAGCGAGTGGTTGGTATGTTTAGCTCAAGGCAACCATGGAGTCTGACAATTCAGATTGAGGAAGGGAAGGTGTATTGGACCTGAAGTATCTATCTCTGTTTGAAAACAAATTTAAGTTTAAAGTCTTTGATTAATTCACTCAGTCAATATGAATGAGACTCCTCCCATATGCATGACACATTCTAGATATAGACATAGATTGGATATGGAAATAAACATATATATAGATAGATGATACATACATACATATATATATATAATAGAGTACATGAAATTGAGTGGAGGTGAAGGGCAGATAGAGGAGGGGATCTAAATGCAATAAAACTATATTATATGAAATAAATACCCCCAAATCCAATATAAGTAAATAAATTACAGATAAATCGCAGATTGAAAAAAAAAGGGGGGGGAGGGATCTTGGGTTTAACTCTGTGGCTTGACTAAATAACTTAGACTTCCATGCTTTTTTTGTCTCCATTATTCCATTATCAAAACACATAATACCTGCTGAGCTGTTGAGAGAATAATACATATTCACACGCATATAAATTCATCAAGTACTATAGATGTCAACTATTTAGTATAATACGCAGGCAAAAGAAAAAAGCACTTACCCTTTATGTTCTTTTCCTCCAGGGTTTTATCTCCATGGCTTTGCAGGGTCACAAGTGTGAAGTAGACACCTTTTCTTTCCAACAGCTCTTCATGGGTACCTCTTTCCACTGCTACACCATGTTCAAAACCAATGATCACATCCGCAGCTCTGACTGTGGATAAGCGATGGGCAACAGAGATGACTGTGTGTTGGTGCTGAATCTGTAAGAGGGAATGGTGCACTGTTAAGACTGCAAGACAGAACCAACACTGACTTCAGATTATCCCCAAGTCCACAAATAAAGTCAGTTTTGGACCCTATGAATCTCCTTAAACAGGCTGTGCAGATATTAGAATAAGCCAGCAGTTTTTTATTTTTATTTTATGTGTATGAGTGTATTACCTGCATATAGATAGGTGTACCCGTGTCATACAATGCCCTCAGAGGTCAGAAGAGGGCGTTGGATCCCCTGGAACTGGAGTTATGGATAGTTGTTAGCTACCATGTGGTGCTGGGAATTGAACCTGAGTCCTCTGCAAGACCAGCCAGGTGCTCTTAACCACAGAGCCATTTCTCCAGCCCTGCCAACAGTTTCTTATAGCCATAAATCATATCATATATTGATATGATTGTGGCAATAAATTGGGAGCTTAGTAAGTGGGTGCTTAAATTGTATGTTAGTCCAGACAAGGTAAATTTTTTAAATATGGAGAGCTTAAATTTTATATGTGCATCTTTGGGGAGTAAATCATGACTCTGTTCTGCTTGGCATGAGATAGACTGTAATTAGCCAATATGATTTAAAGGATCAGACCATACACATCCACCAATTAGTGTCACTTCCCTCTGCAGGGAGTTGCTTTTCTTGCAGTAGTACAGGCATTTCTTCATGGACCAGCAAAATGAACAGACTCCACAAACCTTATTCAGTGCTGCTTGTACTCTGGCTTCACTCTCGTTGTCCAATGCTGAGGTAGCCATGTCCAAAAGCAGGATCTTGGGATTTCGTATGAGGGCTCTAGCAATGGCTACCCTTTGTTTCTGGCCACCACTCATCTGGCCTCCTCCTTCTCCAACAAGGGTATCAAATTGCTAAGAATCATGAGAAAGAATTTGATGGTTCCTGTCTGTGATCAGTATGCCTTCTAACTTCTTCCTTAAGCATGAATTTTTATAGGTCCAACATTTACTGAAAGGAATATCCCTTCCCAAAACAGATGAGCCTAATCAATATTTACATGTGAGATAAATTAATTTGTGCATTGAACTGTGTAAATGTTCCTTTTTAGTTCAAGTTCAAATAAAATTTTCAGCCAAACTGAAAAATTGATCAGTCTTGAAAGTCCATCGTAGAGGACTAAATCACATAGCTCATTCCTGGCTCCTTTCTCTAACTGGGCAACATGGCAAAACGTAATGCTAAAGCTGCCTTTATATTGTGAATGGAAGATCATACTAACCTTAGACTCCTTGCTGTGACAGCAAATCCTGACTAAATATCCCTAGACTAACACCACATTGGAAACTAACAATGTGATATTAAAAGTGGGATTCTTTTTTTTTTTAATGTGTATGAGTGTTATGCTTGCATATAGGTAAGTGCACTCATGTCATGCAATGCCCACAGAGGACAGAAGAGGCTGTCAGATCCTCTGGAACTGGAGTTACAGACAGTTGTTATCTGCCATGTGGGTACTGGGATTCAAACCTGGGTCTTCTGCAAGAACAACCAGTGTTTTTAACCGCTGAGCCATCTCTCCAGCCCCCAGAAGTCAGATTCTTAACTTGCTTAATATCAGTGGACATGAGTTGAGTTCCTTTACCAAAGATAAAAACAGTGCTGAAATTCTACACACATTGTCCCACAGTGCTCATAGACACCCCCAGGAGGCAGGTATTTAGGACATTCTGAGCATAAGGGGATAAATTAACCTGAGAGAAGTTCATAAAGCTAGTAGAGAGTAGGTTTGATACTGAGGTAGTGCAATTCTAAAACTTTATTCTCATTAGCTATTAGACCACAGCTTCCTTATAACTACAATGTTACTCATAAAGGTGATTTAGAAAGTGAATAGGAAGTGTTCAAGTCACTGACTCTGGAGCCAGACCACCTGCTGTGACTTTCCTGATTACCTAGTGCATAATTTTGAGCAGTTACTGACCTCTCAGGACCTTGTTTCTTCATCTATAGATGGACACAATAGTAGTTGCTCCCTGATAAGGAAGTTATGAGGGTTAAATGAGCTAATCAATGTGAAGTGCTAGAACAGTGCCTGAAAGGTAGAAAAAGCCATATACACGCTATGAACAATCTTTCTTTGACTTAGCACACCATCAGTGGCAAAATCCTGTAAGCATGATAATACAGAGTTGGTTTTGTAGCAGTGGTGCTTGTATAGAATGGAAGCATATGAGGAATGTGTTTGAATTTGTGAGATACAGTTCTAAAGGCACAATAATAAGACAGCGGGAGCACAAGAAAACCATTGGTTGTTATTATCTAGACCTTTAAATATTCCCTATGATGACTGATCTTGAAGGAAATACGAAAACGCAAGATGGGCACCAGCATGTATCTTTCTCAACTTCCTCACCATGGACACAACATGACCAGCTGCATCATGCTCCTGCCACCAAACCATCCCTGCCATGATGGATTGAATCCTCAAATTGTTAGAATAAACTCTTCCTCTCCTAGGTGGCTTTCTTGGCGCGTTTTAAGCTCTATCCTGTGTGTGGCATTATTGGGAGCTGGTGGAACGTTTAAGATGTAACGTTTGTGGAAGGAAGTTGGTTCACTGGGAGTCCCTGAAAGAGACACTGGGACCTGGGACTCTGGTGTTCTCTCTCTCTCTCTCTCTCTCTCTCTCTCTCTCTCTCTCTCCTCTCCACGCCCCCCTTACTGGTTTATGAGGTGAGCTACTTTGCTCTATTACACACTCTCCACCATGGTGCTCTCTTTTGCCACAGGCCTCAAGCAAGAGAAACAGCTATAAGCCAAGAAAAAAAAATACCTCCTTAAAAGTTACTTATGACACTGGCCAGGCATGGTGGCACATGCTTTTAATCCAAGAACTCAGGAGGCAGAGGCAGGCAGATCGCTGTGAGATCGAGGGTCTACATAGCAAATTCCAGGCCAGCTGAGGCTACAGGGAGACCCTGTCTCAAAAAGACTGAAAAAAAAAAAAAGTTATCCCAAGTACTTTGTCATTGTCACTGTGACTGAAAACTGAAAGGCGACTAACAGTGGTAGAGCATCAAGAAAGCATTGGTGATGCATTGCTTTGTGACCAATATTGCATCTTTCTAGACATGTGCTTAATAGACAGAAAAATTATACCTATATCAAGGGAGCTTTTTAAAAGATAGTTCTCCAGTATGATAGGCTAACTGTATAGATAAAATATTTCTAGAGGAAAGGGAAAACACATTATATATTTCCATGCATAAACCTAGAGTGTTATGTTAAGAACTGAATGACTCAGGATTCAAATGAAAAGGGATGTATTCTTCCTGACGACTTAGGGGGTACCTGTGGCAGGGCCATGATGAAGTTGTAGGCATTGGCTTCCTTGGCAGCTCGGACTATGTCTTCCATTGTGGCCTCTTCTCTACCATAACGAATATTTTCTGCAATCGTGGTGGAGAAAAGAACTGGCTCTTGCTCCACTATCCCAATCTGTTCTCTCAGCCACCGGATGTTAAGAGAGCGAATGTCATGGCCATCTAGAGTCACCTAAGAGCATGAAAACATCAGGTTACATGGAGCCCTCCATGGTTCTGAATCAATGCTAAGTGGTACTTTGGCCACTGGGGAGAACAAACAGAGGCCAACAATACTGTAATTGAAACAGTTCCTGTGGAAATGTGGCTGTTTATACAAGGATGACAAGATGTAATTGAAATAAAGTTCAGCTGCAGGGAAATTCCCTATAGAAACACAAATGTAAATGTTACTTTATTTCTTGCTGTTGGCTTCAGAATGGGCAAATTTTTAATATATCAGAAAAGAGTAGTCAGTTGTTTACCATACTTTGAGTATTCTTACCATCCTTTGACTTGGGACCAGAAAGGGACTTCAAAAGATAATAAAAGTAAGCAATAATCCCTCTCACATATATAATTTATAGTAAACCTTACTTTCTAATCAAAGCAATTGAAACTGTAAGTGGGAAAAAGCAAAAAAAGCACTCCTGGAAAAGTTAAAACAATCTCACATCAAAAAAGCAGCTTGATGACATCACCATTCGCATTCTCCTGCCCCTACATGTTGAAAAGTTTCTGGAAGTTACACACCATGCCTTCACTAGGGTCATAGAATCTCTGAATGAGTTGCAATGCTGTACTTTTCCCAGCTCCACTGGATCCCACCAGAGCTGTCATTTCCCCTGGTTTGATGACCATGCTGAGGTTATTTAAAATCTGGAGAGGAAAGAAGAAAAGTTTGAAGTCCATAATGTTACTAGGCATGTAAGCAAGAAATTAGGCCTGGCATTGGAATGCTTTGTGAGGACATGTGTATGATGGTTATGTGCCTGCGTGATTGTGTATGTATGTGTGTGCTTACTTATGAACCCCCACGGCAATATCCATAGATAGCCATCAATCACCAGCCAAAGGAGGCATTGTCTGGAATGAAGTTTTAGCATTTGGCACATTTCTTGATACTGTGCATAACAATAAAAGGATGTGTGTTGACACTGGTAAAGGAAATAAGCAATTTCCACCTTTAAAATTAAGCCCTTGATCTCATTTAAAACACTTCTGACATCCTAGGATACTTCCAAGAGACAGTCCCAACTAGTTAAAGAAAAAGCCCCAGTAAGTTAGAAGTATAATGGTAATTTATAAACCAAGGATCAGCAATAATCCAATTTATAGATTTTAAATTGTTATATATGTGTATGGTATACGAACATATTACTTGAATAAGTTTGCCTAATAAATGTACATGTTCTATTTCTAGTTCTAGGACTCTGAAAGGCAAGGTCTGAATGCTGGTATGTGAAATTGAGATTTAGTTCTAGGGGTATAGCAGAAATATTATTAGTAAAGGAAACTAAAGATACTATGTTAAAAATGAAGACAGGTATCATTTCAAAGCCAGTTTGTTCCAGAGACCAGAGCCTAACTTTCCTGTAGAGCAGGCTGCCTTTAAAGATCTTGCTTCATAGGTTCAGGAAAACAGTATTCCTTTCACCATGTGCCCTGGACATTGTTTAGTACAAGACACAGAGGAGCAAGTGCCCTTCCTATGAGGACTGACTCAGTGGCCCCAGTAAACCAACAGTCGGGAAACAGCTGCCACTCCTGCCTGCTCACTAACTGTGCTCCACCTTCTGCCACTTCCAAGGAGGTAGGGATTAGGAGCAGTGCCACTTGATGGTTCTAGTTGCCTTAACACAAGTAGAATTACAGGATCTACCAGTTATTACAATAGAGGAGTGCAGAGTTGACTTAGCCTGCGTGCTGCTAGACTGGGTTCCAGCCAGAGGGATTTGCATAATACAATTATCACAAAGGAATGTGGTGTGTCCATAAAGTGTCTTGAGGACATTTGAGGACAGAGAAACAGACCCCTTCCTCTGTTCCTGGAAACTGAGTCAGCTTTTGAAAAACAAACACTGTGTGGCTCTGGAAATGAAGTACCAAAGAAGCAAACGTCCATTGTCTTCAGGCACAAGGTAGACACTCACCTTGACATCAGGTCTAGAAGGGTAGTAGAAAGTCACATTATGAAACTCAATTTCACCCTTGATTCGATCCAGCTTGTAGCCATCATCTGACATGCAGTCAATAAGGGGTTTCTGGAGTAAAATATGAAGATTAAGCAACAATATGTGTCATGTGCATTTTGTGCCCATCTTAGAGTAAGCTAACACATAAAGCAGAGATGTATCCTGGTAAAATATTTCAGAGATATGCTAAAGGTAAATAGCTTCCATATCACATACTTATAAGAGTAATAAACACTACTACCTATTGAGATATTGCTATGAGGCACTGTTATATTACTATATATTGTTATTAAGTATGACACTGATATAATAGCAGATAGTAGATTTTACTATTTAATTACTATTATTTATTGAATTATAAAATTATACTTAATATTAAATTACATGGTAATGCATTATTTATTGATATACATATACAATGTTAATATATTTTATGCTTATTATAATGTATTACATTACACATTATATTACTGAGATATGGGAGGCAATATACTTGGTGTTTTAATGTGTAGTTTGCATTTATATTGTTGTTACAATCTAGTTAGACAGATCCAGTTTTTGGATAGGGAGGTGGCAGAACCTAAGAGATATAGTTTCTTGCCTAGAGCTGTGTAGTTAGTCAGGAAGGCTGCGGGCCAGTAGAACTCTACATATGAGTTGTCAGTGCAGATGGTAAGTAAAATTAAGTATCCCCACAGTGTCTTCAAATAACACCACTTCCACCTGTATCCTGAATTCACCTCTGCTATTAGTGAGACTAACCTAGTGAGGTTAACCGTTCTGATTAACCAGACAAGAGAGAGGGCTACCTCCTGCTTCTAGAACACTCTAGGTTTCATTTCTTTTCTCTTCCACAACAAGTAATAAAAATTATGACCATAGCCCTATTTGGGGATATGCTGAAATTTATGCTCTTCTTCTAGAGTGTCTAATAAAGATAATTTTTTAAATGCCTTTATCGTTAGTCAATGTTTCAGGACTTCTTTGTGGTCATCGCTTCATTTGAGAATGTAGCAGCCATAGAAAGAAGGCAGCATTTGAAAGAGCAACATATTCCAAGATATGAAACCCTGTAACACAAAGTCATTTCCTTGGGTAAATGATAGCCCCATTGCTTTCCAAAAACAATAATCCACTTCAGAGGACCATGACACTTGGCCCAGGGCATTTTCTCAGAGGGGAAGGACAACAGAGCACCATCTTCTCCCTTCCGCTGTGGCTTGTGGTTTCCTGATATGATTTTTAATGTGCTTCCATAGATTTACCAGGAAATCCTATTTGGCTTACCAAAGTCCTTTAAAAACTTAGGAACTTCCTGCCAGAAGATAGTTCAGTCTCATGAAACTGGTCTTAAAACGTGCATACTCTGGCTTTTCCCATCTGCCCAGCCTTTGCCCCCTGCATTATTCTGTTCACACTGAACTCCTTCAGCTCCTTGAGTTCACTAGGCCCTTTTCCAACATAGAGGTTTCTCTTCCAGGAATTCCCCTTCTTGCTCTCACTTCCCATGCACAAAATTTAAAGATGCCTCCCACCCCCCAGTCATTTTGCTTTGTCCTATTGTATCTTCTTCATTGGATTTAGCACTATCCAGTATTTTAAATGCTTTCATTTCTTTGTACCTGCTTCCCAGTATGAGTATGAAAGTAGGAGCATTATTTGTCCTAGCTCACTCATTCCCAGCTCTTAGAATTGGTCCAGATCATGACTGTACTCAAGAACTATTATTGGCTTGTAGGTATCTTTTGCAGCTTCTCATGTTTTTCAACATTAAGAGTACACGCCAACTCCCTAATTTGCTAATGGCCCTTTCTTTCAGCTTAAAAAATATATTACTGTTTTGCCTGCAAGTATGTATTGTGAAAACCCATGGAGGCCAGAAGACAGCATCAGACCACCTGCAACTGGAGTTACAGACAGTTGCTAGCTGCATGTGGATGCTGGGAACAAACCCAAGTTCACCCAGGTTCTCGGCAAGAACAGCCAGTGTTCTTAACTGCCATCTCTCCAACCCCCAGATGCCTTTGTTTGTTTGTTTGTTTGTTTGTTTGTTTGTTTGTTTGTTTGTTTGTTTGTTTTGAGATGGGGTCTCTCTGTAGCCCCAGCTGGCTGGAACTTGCTATGTAGACCAGACTGGCCTTGATCTCACAGAAATCCTCCTGCCTCTGCCTCCCAAGTGCTAGAATTAAAGGCATCCCTTTCTTTTGGCTTTTACATACCCTGTCTATTGTCTGGAAAATGGTGGCAGCTGCTGTTCGCCCAGTGGCAAAGGCTTCCATTGATGAAGATGCATGACCAATATTCATAGCTGCTACAATGATACACAGGAAAATCTGAAATGAAAAGGAAAACAGCTCTCCTGCATGTTTGCCGGTTTGCAAATAATGCCCCTTCCCATTCAGCCATCCATGTGAACTCAGATTTCTCAGAAATAGTTCTCTGAAACAGTTTGAAAGGTAATTAGCTTATGGGCTCTTTGGAAATAAGTAGAAAATCTTTTGTTTTGTGCAGCATTTCTTCAGGGTTATAATTTAAAATACATTGTCTTTCCTGAGCATCACTCTTCTACAAAGTAGGAGAGTTGAGTAAGAGGTGAAAGGAAGCAGATAAAGAACAACTCTTATTGTCTAAATTGTTTTAATACCTTTCTCTCCAGAGGCCTTCCTACCTCAGCAAAGAAAGTCTTTCTGTGCCCAAGATCAGGCCCAGCAAACATGTTCTATAACAGCCTAGTTCAGGCTATTCAGGCCGAAAGGTTCTAAACCCACACACTTATCATGTAACACAAAGCAAGTATAACAGTATATAAGCAGGTGACTATAACTATGTTCCAATAAAGCATATTTATAAAAAATAGAAGGGTGGTCCAATGACCTTACTTTGCTGAGCCACTGAAGTTTTAAGTTGAGGATTAGGGGGTAAGACCCTTGCTCAGCATGGCTTTATAAGCTGATATCCCATGCAATTGTCTCTGGGGAGATTCTTAGGGGAGGTGTGGGTGAAAGAGGGCAGACATGTGCCCAATACCATCATAGCCAGCACACATCCCAGCAGAGTAGTGGTTTTACCATGAATTTTACACTGTTTGCCCCTGTGCACAGGAAGGTAGGAAGAGAGGCTGCAGGGAACAGTCATTGTGTGTATGAACCCTCCTAGGGAAACAGAGCCTGTGTCCCTTAGAATCTAGATTTGGAGGCAGGAAAACCGTGGCTAATGGGTCAGGCCTGCAGTCACTACAATCTGAGCTCAAGTCCTACTCAGTGCCGCTGGGCACAAATCTCAACCTCATGACTGCCTTTCATTTTTGAAGTGATAATATAATGATACCAATTACAGAATGAAGTTGTGAGAATCATGGTAATTACACTAAGCACCTCAGTGCTCAACACCTTATATACACTGAGTGAATGTTATTTTCTATTACGTTATTTCTATTGTTGAAACCTAAAACCTACATGAAAGACTAAGCCTTTTCCTTCATTCACGTCCATTTCGTCTTTCTTTAGTAGATCAGAGTATGTTTTTGTCTGTATTCAAGTGATACTAATTACAGTCATTTGTGTGAAATGTTTACCATCTATGCCCAATTACCATACAACCCATAATGATTTTGTGTACCACAAAATATGCTAGATTAACCTAATTGTTCATTAGTTTAGTGGATTAAAACACTCAACTCAGCTCAAGAGTACCCAGCTGTCATAGTTTGCTGTGTAGAAGTATAATCAAGAACTCTGTGTGTGTATGTGTGTGTGTGTGTGTGTGTGTGTGAGAGAGAGAGAGAGAGAGAGAGAGAGAGAGGGAAACAGAGACAGAGACAGAGGTAGAGAGACAGAGAGAGAGAGAGAGAGAGAGAGAGATTATGTCATTAAAGGAAGTCTCTTCTCTTTACAAAGACGTACTTACTGAGGCCGGGTTGAGCAAAGGATACAGAAAGAAGTTCAGAAAAAAAATGGTAATAATTGCTGATTAAAATGTTGAGACACGCATGCAATAGTAAGGACTTGAAAAATATCTATTGAAAAGATGAATTCTTTGTTTCTGGCAGGTGTGTCCAGCCTTTAGACATTGTGATATAACATTTCAAGGTTCATACTCAAGAACCATACAATCAAATTACAAAAGAAAACAAAATTGCCAAATATCTCATGATGTTTTAAGTAAGTTTATAAATTTTGTTGGGTCATATTCATAGCTACTTTTGGCCACATGCAGCCTGTAGGCAGCAGGCTGGATATACCCGATAGCTGATCTCATAGTCCAGTTGGCAAGAAACTTAAAGATGAGAAACCATGAAACTAAATTCTTCATGGAAGAACTGTTACTTATACATTCCTTTCTCTTCCCACAGGCCCAGGATGAAGGAATGTCTTTGCTCAGTAAATGTCTTTCTGCAAAATGAACAGCTAGTTCTAAACTCAGTTTCTGGAACCTTTGATTAGTAAATGTCTAAATCTTTTAAATTATTTGAATTATAATTAGTTTCTTTGTTTATATGTATATATGTATATGTATAGGTACACATGTACCACTGAGCACGTGTATAAGTCAGAGGACAACTTGCCAGACTAAGTTTGATCTTGGGTCATCAGGCTTGATGGCAAGTGCCTTTGCCCACTGAGCCATCACACCAGTTCAAATGTCTGAAGTTTTTGAAGCAATTGGCTCAATAAGGGAAAAAAACTTTATAGTCACATTTCAGACCTGTAATATTTTAACTTTTCCAATGTGCAAAACTGTGTCTAAGCTGCAGGGGATATGGTAAAATGATATTGCATAGCACTTTAACAAACATTATCACATTTAATATCTTTAAACAAAGTTCAAAGATATTTCAGCTGTTTATTCTGCAAACACAAGGGCAATTTTTAAAAGTTCTGTTATTAGGCCAGGCTAGGTGGCATAAGGTTTTAATTCCAGCACTCAGGAGGCAGAAACAAGGAGAACTCTGTGAGTTCAAGGCCAGCCTTGTTTACACAGTGAACTCCAGGCCAGCCAGGGCTACAGAGTGAGACCTCATCTCAAAACGAAAAAAAAAAAAAAAAAACCAAAAACCCCAAAACAAAGCAAACAAAAAAATCACATCGTAGTAGTGCATTGTTATGTTCCTGAAGAAGTAAGGTCAGTAAATAAAAAGGACTAGAGTTGAAGGATGTTTCTATTTGCAAATCAAAATGCTACCCAATTTCCCCCAGAAATGTGTTTTTACTAAAGCAGTACATTTTGAATTACAAATTTTCAGGTAGTGAATTTCTGGTAGTTTTCATTATTTAGTTGGTACATGTTCCATCCAGAGTCTGCAGCCACAACATTTTATTTAAAAATCTTACATGAAGCTGTTTCCTTCATTACAGCAAATGAAGCAAGCATTTTACTCCATAGACCTCATAGACCTCAGACCTTACTGTCTGAGGGCAGAGAAGGGCAGGGGTAAGTCTAAAAGTGCAAATGCTCCATGAGACACAAGTGCTCTGAAAGAAAAGGGGAGAGACCAAAAAGAGAATCTGAGGCTGGATGAACATAGAAGGCCTGACCCAGAAAGTGCCAGGCAGTTGCCACCCACCAGGATGGTAAGCTAAGGAGGAAAGACCTTGGCAGAGGGATCAAGAAGAAAAGCTTTCCTGCCCCAGACAGACCTGGTGACTCTGCAATTTACTATCGAGGTTCCCTGTCCACTACTTTACAGTCCATGTCATCATTTGTCATCAGCGACCTACCTGATAAGTTAATTATTCCTTGCCTTTCCCATTGGAGCCAAAAGACCACATTGCTTTTTGCTCATTGCACTTTGGACACAGGGCCCATTCGTGGTAACTGCTTGTGGAGTAACTGAGAGGACACTGTAAATTACAGCAGCCGTGCATTTTGTGAATAATAAAATATGCTTGTGCATTGCACAACTGAATAATAAAATACGCTTGACTTAGTTGAAGATAATACTGGCTTCATAGTAACTCATCATGTTTCACAAAGATTCTTTAGGCATATATCTTATACTTTATTAAGTTCTGTTTTATGACTTCTTGGTTTTTAGCTGAGAGATCGCTGACTTCCCATTTTCATGGTACATTATTCTTTGGGATCTGTAAAGTCACTATTGTACAGTTATATCTTCAGTTAATTGGAAATCATTACATTGCTGATCTTATCAATCCACATGCTCAGCTTCTCTTCACTAAAATGCCTAAGTATTGCTAGTCTTGCACATGGACTCCATCAAACCACTGAGGCTTTTCTGCCTGTGACCCTAAAACAATAATCCTCATGGCTAGTCCACAGGCTTTTCTGATACGCTAGCAGTAGAGATCATGTACAGGCAAGACCAAAATACCTGGACCAAGGTGCCTGGTGTATATTCTTCGGTATCTAGGATGAGTGTGGAGCCATACCAGAATGCCAGCGCATAAAAAAGAAAGATGAGGCACCACATGTACCCCGTGAAGAATCCCATCACCATCCCTTTTCTAATTCCCCAGCGCTGGGCAAACACAAGACTTTTCTCATACCTGCAAAGAGAAAATGTTTGAGTCAATTCCAGCAGTAACAACTCAAGTGACAATGGTTAAATACAACATTTCACAATGCAGAATTTTACTCAGTGACTACAATCACTCCAAACAGCAGCTTTGAAGAACAAAATCCACAACGTCCATGCAGTTATTTAAAGTGTGTCGAACCTGTCAATGAAACATATCAAGAGGATGACACTTAAAGCTTCTTAAATTGGTTGCAGCTTAGATGAGCATTAGTGGGATAGCCTTGCCTCCCCTCCAAAGTGATTTTAACACAAATGCCTAGACAGTTGGGATCTATTACTATTTTGTGCTTGAACTGGTGCCTTGCATCCCATGATATCATGTTTTCTAGCAGAAAATAATGCAATTAGCTCCAAATCAACAGGTCAGACTATTTGAATTTTTTCTAGCCACTGCCCCTGCCAGACTTGAAATTCATGTTGAAACGTAATTATCTTGCATCTACATACAGTCCGTCCTGCGGTCAAGATGCTATTCTGTGACACAAGAGGTCATGTTTATAATTGTGGGGTGTGGATAACTGAAACATAATGGAAACTTAACTGTAGGACTAGACTTCGATATGTGTGCTCTAGACATTAGCAATGGACATTGACTTACAGCTTGACCTTTCTGAAACTTCCTTCCTACATTTCCAGTAAAGATCCATGAGAAATGTTTACATCTCACAGGACACAAACTGAAGTTCTGCCTTGTGGGATTTGGGAAGGTTTTTAAAATCATTTTTTAAAAAAGATTTAATTTTTATTTTATGTGTATGAGTGCTTTGCCTGTATATATGTGTGTGTACCCATGAGTGCCTGGTGCCCATAGAGGCCAGAAGATGGCACTGGCTTCTCTAAAATTGGAATTAATAGATGGTTGTGAACTTCCATGTGGATGTTGGGAACTGAACCCAAGTCCTCTGCAAGAGCAGCAAGTGCACTTAACTACTACACCATCTCTCCAACCCCTCCTTTTTAACATTTTAAAAACACATTATTTATTTCATTAACAGTGAAAGAGAATATCTTTCATGGTGGAGAAAATGTGACACAGAAATTATTTTATGAGAAATAAGATAGCTTTGCTATACAAGCCAAAGAAGTAAAAGAAAAACAAGTTCTTTGAAGTTTATTCAGACCTAGCAATGAAAACTCTTGGAAGGACAATACTTAACAAAGTCTCTAAAATGGATTTCAGCTTGGATGCTTAACAATGGGAAAACCTTGACCCCAAGAGAAAATAATGTTTAATACAAATATCTAGACATGAGGGATCTGTACAATTTGTGTTTCAATTGTTGTTTGGTGTCACATGACATCATGCTTTCTATAAGAAAATGATGTAGTCGCCTTCAAATAAATAAGAAGGAAGGGTATCAGAGGTTATAAATCCTATTTTTTTATTTAGTAAATATGGTAGCAGCTAAGAATGATGTAATTCTACTAGACCTGTAACATAAAATAAAAATTTTCTATTCAGTTTGTGATTACTTTATAAAATCAGTACATGGCACTTGGAAAAAAAAAAAAAATAAACCCTTACTATATGTTAGCTAAATTATCAAGAATAAACAAAATCTTATTTTTGACAAATGTATAATTTTGGCTACTTACGGTTTTGTTTTCACCAGGAATTAATCTCTAGAATAATGGCCTATACTTCCTAGTGCTAAATTTTGTTTGGTTAAATAAAAAATTATTAGGAGCTATTAAGATCATTTAGCAGAAGAGCAGTTTGATTGAATATGTTCAGTAAAAAGTGTTCAGGGGCTGGTGTGATGACTCAGTGGATAAAGGCACCAAACCCAATGATTTGAGTGTGATTGATCTCTGGGACCCACATGGTAGAAGTAGATAACTGACTCTGGCAAGTTGTCCTTCCACCTCCGCACACCTGCCCCTGAACACACAAATGCGCGCGCGCGCGCGCACACACACACACACACACACACACACACACGCACGCATGCACACACACAGGTAAGCTCCCACACACATGACACAAAATGATTGTAATTTAAAAAGTCTGAAGAAGTTGTGCCGGAGATATGACTCAGCAATTAAGAGCACTGAATGCTTTTGCAGAGGACCTGGGTTTGGTTCCCAGTATCCACATAGTAGTTGACAACCATCAGAACTCCAGTTCCAGGGGATCTTGATGTCCTCTTCTGGCCTCCACTGTCATTGGACACACATGGTGCATACTTACATACATGTAGGCAAAACACTCATACACATAAAAATAAAAATAAGTTTTAAAAAATTTAAAGTCTAGAAAAGTGTTCAATAAAATGTGTAGAATTGCATTTTGGATCATGCTGTCATTTCATTTTCTTTTCTTTCCTGGTTCAATAGATGAACAAGTAATTTTAATAGATGCAAATATGACCCTGCCTCAGCCTCCTGCATCCTGTGACTATAGGCATGAATCACCATGCCAGGCTCCCTCAGTCTTTTAAAATATAAATTAAATTTAGTCTTCACTAATAAATAAAAAAAACATATAGATTGGTGGGATAAAATGTCATGCTTTGATGCATGTACACATTGTGTAATGTTTAAATCAGGGTATATATATATATGTATATATATATATTCTCAATCACTTATTTCTTTATAACAAAAACTTTCATCTGAGTATGATGGCAAAGTCTTGTAATTCTAGCACTAGGGAGTCAGAACTGGAAGGACTGCAAGTTTAAGGCTAGCCTTGGCTAGATAACAAGTTCAATGGCCAGCCTGGGTTATGTAATGAGATCCTGTTTAAAAGAAAAGATAAAAAGATAAAGATTTAAAAAATTTTTAAAAGATAAAAAAATCTTTCAACATCCTCTGTTGCTCTTTGAAATGCACAGTTCATTATTATCCAGTGTATTGTGCAATAACAGCACACAAGGACTTCTTTCTCTGGATTGTTACTTCAAATCCTTTGATCACCATTTCTCCCCCAGCCCCCACCTCATTGCTCTCTGCTGTTCTCTCAGGTCTCTGGAAGCCACCATCTTACTCCACACTTCTATGAGGTCAGCATTTTTAGATTCTACATGTAATTGAGATCACATGGTACTTACCTTTCTACGCCCGCCTTATTTCACTTAACTATGAGTGTGGTTACACGTAACAGAATTTCATTCTTTTTTTTTTATAACTGGATTGTGTCCAATATGTATATACACACATTTTCTTTGCCCACTGATCAATTAATGGGCATCAAGATTGTTTCCATTTCCTAGCTCATGTGGATAATACTATAAGAAACATGGAGGGAATATGTTTCTTCTCCATACTTTCATTTCCTCTATGTATGTTCCCAGGAGGATGATTGTTAGATCATATAGTAGTTCTCATTTTAGTTTTTGAGGAACTTCTATGTTGCTTCACATACTAGTTTATGTTTCTGCCAAAACTGTGTAAGCATTCCCTTTGTCCCGTATCCTAGTACCCTCCTTAGCACTTGCCATCTTTAGTCCTTCTGCTAGCAGCATTCTGACTGGGCTGATGAGGCATCTCATCATAGTTTGTTTTGTTGTTTCTTTTCTTTTTTGAGACAGGCTCTTCCTGTATCCCCAGCTGGCTTGGAACTCACTATGTAGACCAAGCAGGGCCCGATCTCACGGAGATCTACCTGCCTCCCTCCTACCCCATACCCTCCCAGTGTTGGGATTAAAGGCATGTGCCACCACATCCAGCTTCATTTTGGTTTTGATTTTCATTTCTCTGGTGATTAGTCAAGGTGATAAATTTGTTTTCATGTAATTATTGACTACTTGCACGTCTCCTTTTACAAAATGTCTGCTTAGGTCTATTCATTCTTAAGTTCATTTTAAGTTGTTCATTATTTTACTATTGAGTTGTTAAAGTTCCTTACACATTCCAGGTATCAACCCCCTGTCAGATATATAATTTGCAGACAGTTTCTCCCTTTCTGAAGGTTGACATTTCTGTTCATTACTTTGCTACCCAGCAGCTTTTTAGCTCAGTGTAGTACCATTTGTCTATTTTTAATGAGTTTTAGAGGATTTGGTGGTATTCATTAGCTCTTTAAATGTTTAGAAAAATTTAGTAATAAAGCACTCAGGTCCTGGGCTTTTCTTTTACAGAGAATTGTTATTACTGATTATTTAATCATTATTGGTCTCGGAATTTTTCTTTGTGACTCAGTCTTGCTAGGTTATATTTTCTCACAATTTATCCATTTCATCAAAGTTCTCTAGGTTGTTAACATACAGTTGTTTATCCTTTGCATTTCTGTGCTGTCTGTTGTAGTATCTCACATAGGCTTTTCTTTAATGGCAGAAATGCTGTTAAAGACTGGCATGAAGTATAATATATATGCTTAGATATCATCAGAGTTTGACACGTCTCAATAAGTCAGCTCTTGAAAAGCCACCAACTATGGCATCTTCAAAAACATGTTGTGCTAGGCATGGCAGCATACACCTTTAATCTTAGCACTCAGGTACCTGAGGCAGGAGATCATGAGCTCAAGGCCAGTCTGGGCTCAGGAGTAATAATAACTGCTTAGGATTTGTTTTTTTAGTATTTGATTTAGTATTTTTATGTGTATGAGTGTATTGCTTGCATGTATATAAGTGCACCCATGTTGTGCAGTGCTCATGGAGGTCAGAAGAGGGTGTCAGATCTCCTGGAACTGGAGTTATGGATGGCTGTTAGTCACCATGTGGGTGCTGGAAACAAACCCAGCTCCTTTGCAACAGCAACCAGTGCTCTTACCCTCTGAGACATCTCTCCAGCCCCTGCTTAGGACTTCTTAAAATGCTCTATTACTCTGCTGATCTGCCTCTTGAACAAATGCTCCCTCGTGTTGCTATAGAAAATGGTGGGTCTGCCACTTTGTGGGACTATGCTGATTGATGAAATTCAGGAAGCTAACAGACCTTCTAATTAACTAACCTTTCAACCTCTTTTTTCTCACCACCGAAAGCAGCCACTGTTCGAATAGAAGAAATGACTTCATCAGCCACAGACCCTGCTTTGGCATAGGCCTTCAACTCCAGGTTTGTGAACTTGGCCACACTCTACAATCCAAAGAAAGAAAAGAAAGTCAGCCTGTCCCTCAGATTCATTTAACAAAGTAAGCATGTGGCATGGTTTAACATAACACTAGATTTCCACTGTAACATAAGAGGGAAAAAAACTGGTCTAAGATTGGTTATGTTATATATCATTCTTGGCTGTTTGAGTTTTGATACATCAGAATGACATTAGACATCAGTCTCACGAGGCTGGAGAGATGTCTCAGTGGTTAAGAGCACTGGCTGCTCTTAGAGAGGACCTGGGTTGTTGTTATAGTAATGAGGTTCCTCGGTCAAACTAAGACGTATTTCATCGCTGTTGGCAAGAAACCATTACAAAATTTATAGACAGACATCAGAAGCAAAGACTGGTGGCCTAAGTGCATGGTGGCTAAGGAGAGAATGAGAGAGAGAGAGAGAGAGAGAGAGAGAGAGAGAGAGAGAGAGAGAGAGAGAGAATCAGGGTGCACAACACTGCAGAGATAATTCCAGAGGAAGGAGCTTCAGGAAAATATTTTGACTTAAATGTAATGGCTTTAATCAAGTTTTTATTTGTATAAAAGGGAAAGAAAAAGACATCTGTGCTAAATAATAATAAAGTCACTTTTTCTGAAATTAGGTTTGGGTTGAGTCCTAGTCAGAAGTTAAACTTCAGAGAAACCCCTGGCACCGCTAGGAATTGTGGCACATGCCTATAATCTCAGCACTTGAAAGGTGGAGACAGGAGGATCAGGGGTTCAAGGTCATCCTCATCTACATAGTGAGTTTGAAGCCAGCCTGGGATACATGAGACTGTATCCTTAAAAGAAACATAACCAGCAGGGCGTGGTGGTGCACGCCTTTAATCCCAGCACTTGGGAGGCAGAGGCAGCAGATCTCTGTGAGTTCAAGGCCAGCCTGGTCTACATAGTGAGTTCCAGATCAGCTGGGGCTACAGGGAGACCCTGTCTCAAAAAGACCAAAAAAAAAGGAAACAGAACCAAATTGAAAGAAAAAATGACAGAAGAGAAGCCCCTGGCACAAATTAGAAAACAAGGATGAGGGAAAGTAAATATTGTAGGCCACCTGAGTCAGAAATCTAAACAATATACAGTGCTCAGATAAATTTATCTTCTAGCAGCTTTTTCCCCTAGACTTTTAGCAAAGCTGTTACTAGCAAAATATTAGATAGAATTCGAAAATGTAGCATAAGTAAAAATAACTTTAACACTATACTTACTATCTCCTCAGTCCACATTTTACAAAATTCATAAACTGAAAAGGCAGCAGGAAAACAAGGACATTCTCATCACACTGCAACTTGCACTTGTGCGTGCTGGTGACATGCCAGTTTTTGGCCCATTCTTTGTCTAACTTATTCCTGAAATATACATTTGTGGCACAGTAGTGAGGAAATTAAATAGTTACGAATGATATTTGTTATAATGCCACATTAATTAATCATAGGACATTTCAGGAGTTGTCCATCACTTCCGTGTATGTGTGTGTCTGTCTATCTTGTGTGTAATAGAATTACTGGTATCATTTTACAGGGACAAACATGCATAGACAGGAATGCAAAGGGAGTTAAGTGCAGAGCTAAAACATTCCAAATCAATGACACACAAGAAGCTAGGATCCTGGCACTGAGATGACACAAGAAATTGTCCTCTCAAGTCTGGTTAAAGCCAAGTTAATTGGGCAATATTTCCATTTCTAGCATTTTAAAACATGGCATATGATCTAAGAAAAGCTGAAATCAAAAGTTTTCAGGGCCTTCGGTGGAATTTGAGGATTTTTACAGATAATTAAACTATCTCATTAGCAATGAACTCTGTGCCAGAAACTATGGTTCCTGTGTAACATGGATACTCTGAACTAGCACATGGCTTAGGGAGTTGTTATCTCTGTGTTAAAGATGACAGAAATGAGGTTTTGATGGGTTAAATGTGCTCTTACATCCACCAACTCATTAGTGGTTGGGTAGGTGGTGACTTAATGAAGTGAGCTCTTTTCTACTGTTGCTGTCAGCCATATCTATATTATCTGGGAAGTAATTAAATGTTATAATCAGTGGACTCCATGAATAGTTAATAGAAAATATCATTGTGGAGATTACTAGCTGTTGTTCAGTGATGTGTACGTATTGTGCAGCCTGCGTTTGAATTCTATTTATATTTATAGTAAATCATCAGCAAGCCTGACACCACAACCTGCGATCTAATATAAGGGTTCTAAAGGAAAAAAAAAATGATTTCTCAAACCTTGGGAGAGTTTTAACTACAGTGGCCCCAAATTCGTACGCCTATCCTTTGGCTTGGCCTGAAAAATGAAGGAACAGACGTTGTCATGAGGGTGATGCTCAGGGTGGAGCTGCAGACCATTCCTTGAAACTGGGCAGATGGAATGGCAACATAGTTGTGATGGCAGATCTTTTTGAAGTGCTTGTTACTGATCTGAGTATATTTGTTGTGACTCTTTGAACATCTGAGCTTGGGAGAACACAAGAGCAACACAAATGCTAGAGAGTGGGTGGGAATTCGGCATTAGGCTCCCTTGAACTTGAAGTCTGTTCTGCCGGCTGTGAAATCCTAGATCAGTCCTTTTATTTATCTAAGGCTCCGATTACTGAATTTAACATGGTGTTAGAATTTTCCTTGTGAGAATATAGTAAGAATTAGAGATAATGGATATGAATCTCCTAAAAAGTGCCTGGAAAAATAAAAGATGCTCAGTAAATATAGTATCTTGCTGCTAACAAAATAATATTTACCTTATTAACACATCATTAATACACATCCAGTGGAGCATTATTTAATACCAAGGAATAATCAAACAGAAAAATATCAATATAGTGATAATCACATTGATTACATGCAGGGAAGAAAATCAAGCATCATGTTTTTGCTATTTATGAATGCAAATGTTAAGTCTTCTCATGGAACAAAACAAAGTATATTCTTACCAGAGCGATGATGGCTGTTCCAATCCCAATGAGAGGGCTGACAGAAATAAGAACCAAGGTCAGTTTCCAACCCCTGTAAAATCCTATCAGGATCCCAGAGATGGCCGTTGACAATCGCTGAATGAAAATGGCTAATTGGTCAGCAATGGCATCATTGATTTTATTAATATCACTAGAAACAAGAGAGACTTTGATCACTAAAACTAAACTTGGTAAGTTCAATGTTTGTTGAGACATTTCACTCCCTCCACCCTGTGTGCCTATCTCTGTTCTATCATTGTTCTTTAATAACATCACAGCTTCTCAGATCTTAGACAATTTGTTGTACCTTGGGAAGATATCAAATCTTTGTCCATGTCTGTGTTTATTATATTCTGTTTGTATGTAATAGAGACCAGTGGCTAAAAGCACTGACTCTGGGCCAGACTCTGAATTTGAATACAAGCTCTTCTTGGGAAAATTACTCAAGCTTTTTGTGGATCATCTAAAATTAAGATAATAACAGAACCCACTTAAGTGGCCAGTAACAAGTGTTAGATTAGTTCATATATGCAAGCATGTAGAATAGTACCTAAATTACTAAGCAACCAATATGTGTTATTCCTGATTACTTAATGGTTTGTTCCTCTTATCCCTCCTACCGGGATTCATGTTTCTTCAGAGCTTCAGAGCAGTGATGTAAAGTAAATATGCCAGAATATCGGTCAAATATAATTACATTAAACTCATAAGCCTGAGAGTATTCTCTTAATCCGTTGTCTATGGAGCAAATTGGGTTTGGTATTTAAAAGCCAGAAAGAACCCAAGGTATTACACAAAGTAAAACCATTGTATTCTAGCAAGGTCTGTTAAAGGTCAAAGAGAGTGAGGGGAGCAAACTGGAATCCAGATGCCTGAACTTCACTCTGCCTTATCTTTGTTACTGGTTGTTGGGTCTGTGCCAGTTGCTTCCAGATTCTTGGCCTTATATCCAAAGAATTGAATATAAGAGCTCACAGATTTACCAAGAAGCAAGTATTTGGAGTGACACGATAGTACAGCTTATAAAGGGGATACACTGCCAAGACTGACAACCAGCCACATGAGTGAGAGTACTCAGAGCCCCAGGTCATATGACCTGGAGTGTCTTTTTATGGGATCTAAAGAAAGGAGGGGATGGTTACTAAGGGGCATAGTTTGGGTGGTTTTTATTTTGATTGATAAATTAGATCATAGTTTGGTTTTCCCTACTATGTACATCCCTTTCTGTAATTCATATGCATATGATGGTGAATTCTCCCTAAAAGTTTACTTGAGGACATAGTTTGCCTTACTGAGCACACACCCAACACTATTTAAGGCTGAATCAGCCCTTCTATTATTCATGCCCAAATACATTGGGAATTGTTTACCTTAAAATGGTCCAAGTTTGATCATCATTAGGGAAGGAAAAACTTATCTCACTATTCAGAGATGGGTATGCATGTAGCCCAACAAGTGTTAGCTGTGCTGTTCAGAGGGGTGTGTGCGTGTGTGTGTGTGTGTGTGTGTGTGTGTGTGTGTGTTACATGAAGGTAAAGGAGCTAGGCTGCCAAGTGCATATTATAAGACAGAGGGTGTGTATATCCCAAACCAAGCAGAGTCCCAGGTCACTAAACTTTTCCTTCTGCTTGCCTACTTTATCTTTGCTATATAGTTCTTGACTTCTGTAGGACTTAAAAGTTCAATTTAGCAACTGTAACTTCTCAGGACTTATTCAGAATTTCTGGATTGGCATTAATGATCTAAACTATATTTATATATAAGCTAAGTTTAGGTCTGTTGTTTTCTTGTTTATAATTTTCTCGAGATATTTTTAGAATTTGTTTTTGGTTTTGTTTCTGTTCCTCCATAGATAAAGCAAAATCATTACTTCTAATTGTGTTATTTTTTCATGTGTATCCAAATGCTGTCATATTCATCTCCCAGTTTCTCTTTATGTAAAACTCTCTTCTGTAATATTTCATGTTTAATATTTTAACCAGTGGTCTATAAACAAAATTGCAATACATTGTGCTTTTTAGTAACTATATTGTAAGTTATCATCAATGAAAATGCCTTATCTGTAAAAGTTCAACTTATTTATTTATTTTGTTTTGTTTTTTTTGAGATAAGGTGTCTTATAGCTTAGGCTGACCTCGAATTCCCTATTCAGCCAACACTAACCTTGAACTTCCAATCATCCTGCCTCCCACATAACACCTGCAGGCCTTGAAAGTTCAATGTAGGAGAAAAAGCATATCAAACCTAACTTGAAATGTTTTCAAATTGCTAGTTAACTCATAAACAAGAGTTTTATTATCAAAACGACACATTATAACATTGATTCACCAGCTGCTTACTCGGAGAATCTTGAATTCAGCTCTCCCACAGAAGTGCAGTCAAACCATCCAATCTCCATCCTCATTATTCTCCGAAAGTACAATTTCCTCATTTTCCGTATCTGACGGGCTCCAGTAATTACCCAAAAGCAGATCTGAAAATGGACAGAGGAGTTTGCCCTGCACTGTTAAGCATATTTGTGAAAAACAGCATTTTCCGTGTAATAGTTGAAAAGATAAGGGAAGTGACTTCCAAAGCACCTCATCTTTGGCACCAAGGTGTGCTCTTTGGTACCTCTTGCAAATGGTGGTGAACAGGACAACTTTGGCGGTGTGGCCAGGGATCTAGCTTTGAATCCAACTCTGGCAAGTTGTCACACCCACAATCTTTGAACTTCACAAATCACGTTTCACTTTCTCCATTAAGTAAAACAGGCTCACAGCACCCCCACGAAGACACACATCAATGCTCTAAACTTACCTTTTTGCACCATTTCTGAGGAGCTTTTCCCTCGAGAATATCTGCCTATAAGCATTTATGCATAATGTTCAAGAAATGATTTGGGGGGCAGTTTAAGACAAAAATTATTATCCAAATGCAGAATCTAATTTGCTGGTAGATTTCCCCTAATTAAAAAAATAAGTCTGTCATGAAAATTCCTGGTGCCAAAACGAGAAAAATGGATTTGTCTCTCTTTACAACTAACATCACTTGGAGTTCTTCAATAAATGACGCGGAGGAGTCATTGTTTTTTCTACAGGTGACAAAATACGAATTATTTTTCTCCGTTAATAAACTTTAAGAATAATCCCTTCCATCACCCAAGTCTAGAAAATCAGGCTCAGATTTACAGAATTTGGATTGGAATGCAATTTGGTTAGACTTCAGCAATGAAAGCAGAAAGCCGAAAACTCTTTCTTTTCCTCCACACGCCTGGCTTTCTCCACGCGGCTCGATTCTGAGCTCAGAAGAGCCGACCAGGAAGTGAAGGGCAAGGAGGCAGTGCTTTGCAAAGGAAGTCTCTGCCTCTCTGCACCACGGCTTGAATCCCGGTCAGTGTTCAGTTGTGGCCTGAATCCTCCCCATTCTCTCACAACCTTCTGGAATAGAACTGCAGTTCTCAGAGCTTCTGAATGGCTTAAAAGCTAAAGGCAACACTTTGCCTTCCACATGTCTACGAGCCCAGATGTTGATCTGTAATAAAATGGAGGCGCTACTAACTTGAATGTATCCTATGATAAGCACTGCCACACCAAGTCCTGCATAGATGCCAGCATACGTCATCATTTCACTTTCAATGTCCAATAACCTTTAAAAGAGAGAATGAACATTGAGACTGACAGGTAGAATCCAGCTATCAAAGGTTACATTTATAGGTGTATGTTTCTATTCAATATGAGGAAGGCATTTCTTCTATGTAGAGTTATAATCAACCCATTCAAATCCCTAAGTAGATCTTATAATACCAGTCACACAACAAATATGCTCATCCTCTTCATTTCCACAGAAATAGATGCTAGGACTGTACAATAACGCATCAGCAGTTTCTGAAAGGGGGATGACTCAAAGTTGTTCAGCTTGGCCCCTTTTTCTCATTCACATGTAGGGACAGAGCCACCATAACTATAGAAAGGTTTTAATAAGCCAGTTAGGCTGTCTGGAAAGATAATTATAGAAAGAAGTGGGTTGTACATCAAGAGTTCACTGTTAACTCCTCTAGAAATGGAAGCCAGAGTTTTCTCAGAGTGACCATCAAAACTGTATATGTCTTCTTCCCATAGGGGATAAAAGGCCCCCCATTATCCCTATCTTTCTACTGACTACAGTCCATGAAGCATCTTTGACTTAGGACCAGCTAGTTCACAAGTTGAAGTAAAGGAAATACTTGCAAGGAATAGCAAGAAAATTCTCTGCACTCTGCCAGAATTATCATGCTGTGGCACAGGGAGTCAGACTTTGTCAGGCAAGGGAGGAAAAATACTCTAAAAATACTCTGAAAACAGCCTTGAGGAAACAAGGCATTTCATAATTAGAAAATTAATACATTGATTGATAACAGTGCTGGTTCTTAAGGACTAGTTAAATGATATAGATTCTTTTTTGTTTTGGTTTGGTTTTGATCTTTTTGAGACAGGGAACTCACTATGTAGATCAGGCTGGTCTCCATCTCACAGAGATCCACCTGCCTCTGCCTCCTGAGTGCTAGGATTAAAGGAGTGTGCCACCATGCCCCAGCACATTAAAATTAATTTTTCTCAAATTAATTTTGCTTATTTGCATTTTTATGTGCATGAATGCTTTGCCTGCACATACGCAAGTGCACCTGTGTCATGCAAGGTCTACGGGTACCAGAAGAGGGCATCTAATCCCTGGGAACTGGAATTATGAACAGTTGTGAGCTGCCATCGGGATGCTGGGAAACAAAACCGGCTCCATCAAAAGTGCAGCCAATGCTCTTAACCACTGAGCTGTCTCTCCAGCTCGTAGATTTTGTTATTTTGAGAAAGGAAAGGTGAAGCATCTTTAAGCACAGATTGCTCTCATCCACATTGTGTTGGCTCTCTGTCAGACCTTCCTTTTATGACTTGAGCTTGAGTGATTCTCTCCATTGAATTCAGATCAGGTGTCTCAATATAATTCACTTACTATAGAACAAACTACACTATACAAGTTTTATTGCCATTTGACAATTAAGTAAGCAAGTTTCATTAGTAAATTTACATTGAGTATATTTATATTTGTCTTGCTGGTAGATAGCAAGCCATTTGAGGGAAGACTAGATTTATGCTGTGGCCACACCCCTTGAGGCAACACCTTTACAAAGCAGGGCAACTGTATATGCTTCTGGATTTTGCTTTGAGTTTAAGACTTCTAATTAGAAAGAAAATTAACTGCCTCATACAACCCCTCTGACAACCTTCAGAGTAGCTAAAATGTCCACTATATTTCCAGTCTTTCACAATTGCTAAGGGTAACCCTAAGCATGAATAAAAGAAAAAATAGAACCCAGAAAATAACAAACTAATATACAGATATCTACACTCAGAGTTTTTCTTTCACTGTTTTGTTTTACTATTCCGAGCAGAAATTCTGATAGGCCACTCAGGAGACCTGATGTTCTATAATCCTTATCCGTGTTATTGCTTGAGAACTATTTGTAAGAGATTACAAACTATTTGTAAGAGATTTATGCTGTGGCTTTGCAATTCCACACAATAAGTTACAAGAGGTGTAATCTCTATTACAATAGATTACAATATAACAGAATGCAAAAATAGCTCCCACCATTACACATGCATGCTTACACTAACATTACTGGCACGTCTTATATACCCTAGGCCAACACATCTGTTATAATAGCTGGCAATATTTATCTTTAATGATAAACCTTTCCAAGAAAGCATCTTGAAAGTGTTAGGTAACTTTGGAGGCATGTTAACCACTTAATGTGAGAGCATGTTCTCTTCCTTATCTTCTGTCCACCCAATTCCACTTTCCCAATCACCTTATCTCATAAAACATAAGGATTATACAGAAGTTCAATGACAAATACTCATAGTAGTGACTGTAGTAACTCACAAATTAAGTATTTAACTAGTCCAAGAGTTCCCGGGAAAGAATAATCTAGGAAAGGTGTGTTTTAAACCATTTGAGTTCTCTGTATGCCTTTTTTAAAAAAGACAAATGATCATTTTTATGCTTCATCTCTGTGTTATTCTTTACCAAACAATCATCTAAATGCTTGGTATTGTATGAGTTCAGCCAAGGCCAATATTCTTCTCAAAGACCCAGTTTGCAATATTTGCTTGCCTTCTAGTATATGACCCCATAAGAATGAACCAGTGGGCAGTGGTATCTACAGAGAATTCCTTTCTGATAGATGCCTATGGTGTAAACACCAAAGGCAGATTCATTCATCAATTCATCTAACAAATATTTATGGGCACCTGATACACTGCAAATGTCTCAAATGTTGACTTCTCAGATATTTATTTTGATGATTACATATACTTCTAATAATTTTGTTTAATTGCTTAGTGTTATAAATGGTTTGTGTCAATTTACATTATGCGTGGAGAGAGCAATTAGCTTACATTTTGCGGTCATACCACTCTGCCCTCCAGTAGAAATGAAGAACTTTTAAAAGACTATCATTGAACTCAATGTCTCTTTTATAGAAACTGCTGAGTCTCTCAGATGAGAATAAATTTGCAAGTTAAAGAAACATACATATTTAGATGCTAGCAAATTTATTTCCAATGAGTTGGCTTGCTAACTGTTTGTTTGTTTGTCAAACAGCGTTCCCCTGTAGCCCCAGATGACCTGGAGTTCACTATGTAGACCAGACTGGCCTCCATCTCAGAGATTCCACTGCCTCTGCCTTCGGAATGCTGGGACTAAAGGAGTGTACCAGCCCTGCTAATTTTTAAATTTACTTTGAAAAATGTCTGTGGTATATGCATGTATATGTGTCCATGTATGTGCACATGAACATGTGTACATGTGTGTGGAGGTTAGAGGTTGACATCAGGCATCTTCCTCTATTCTATACCTTATTTTTTTTTAAGATGAGGTCTCTCACTGTTCCTAGAGTTCACTTATGAGCTAGGCTGGCTGGTCAGCAAGCTCTGGGGACTCTCCTGTCTCCTCCTACCCTGCCCCCTAGCTCTGAAGTTACAGATGTGTATGCTGACATTCCCAATTTCTATGTGAGTGCCAGGAATCTGAACTCAGGTCCTCATGCTTGCACAGCAAGCATTGTATCCACTGAGCCATCTCTCCAGCTTCAACTTGTTAATTTTCTATGTGCTGTGTATAATTTTGTGCTTTTCCATCATCCAGCATTACTAATTAATAACAAGTATTTATGAATGATCATTGAATTAATGATAGCCTAGCTGACTAGACTTGAACTCTGAAAAACTAAGGATGTGACTTAAATGATGTGTCATTGATGCTTCTACAAGTTCATGGCACTTAACTGATATTCAAAACAATTTGATTGAATGAATGAAAACCCATCAAAGTAGGTAATATTATGGAAGAACTTCAATGATGTGGAAATACTCATGGTCTGGGTCAAACATATAAACAGTTTCAAAAATTAAGATGAGAAATAAAATTTCATTTGAGGAAGTCATTCCAAGTGTCTTTCTAGCCAGGATGTGCCCTGCCCTTGATTCATGAACGTGAGTGTATAGGTTCATACGTGCAAATGAACTTGTCCTGAATCTGAGCATGAGGCAGGATACAAAGTCCATGCCACAACAGTGAGTCAGCTCATGTATAGACTCACTGATTACAAAGTGGCTATTGGGTGTATCACAGAGACAGCAGTAGTACAGTGACTATGCCTGTCTGAGTTCTGGCTATTTATGTAGGCTGACTTCTCTTCACAGTCCCACACTACTCTTCCATGGAAACTCAACTACTGGCTATGAACAGTGACCCCCTACTCCACTAATGCAGCATGCTCATGACACATAAAAAGAGAAGGCTTGTACCCCAATTAATTATCTAGTACATCTAGCCACAAAGCCAAGAGGCAAAAGGCAGTTAGTGGGGAAAGAACTCTTGTCTGTAAGACTCAAGTGAAATTCAGTCACCACCCTAGTGGCATTAAAGACTGATAGTGTTGTGTTTGGGCCTATAGTCCACTAAGAAATTTCTGGAAATATGGACAAATTTATGTTTATGGTTAGATATGTTTATGGTTAGATACCATTCCAGTTTGATCAATATTTCTTTAGTACATTTTGAATTATAATTTAAGATATGAAAAAAAGAAAAATAGCCTACCCACAAGGTGTTCCATTTGTCATGTTCTGGTTGAAGGAGCTGTTGATCCATACTATGGTGTTATTCACACATGCTTTTCCTGGAATCTGGAGTTCTTGTTTTTCAGTTTCATACTCAATAAAAATATCTGTCATCATACCAAAAATAATGAACATGCCTGGCTGGGCTGCTCCATGGAGCAATGCACATAAACTTCCCACAAACATCAGCCAGATGTCAGTCGATGAAGAAAATCGAAACTTGAAAAACAAAGGGTTCAGAGATCATCTATGGGTGAAAAGCTGGGGCGGTAGGAGAACTATTCAATTTTCCTTACTAGATTCTGATAAATAGTACTTGACAGTAAATGCTATGGGACCATATTTGAGCAGTAGCCTTCACGCTAATTATGGCAAAGTACTGTACATCAATTGTCTAAGACATTAGACCTTGACATTAGATCGGGTTCTTTCTTTCTGAATCTTAGAATTCATTCTGTTCAGACAAGAGCTGACTTTACTGTCTTGCTAGTCACCAGTACAGATGGCATTGCCAGGTAGACACACTGTGTGGGCATTCAGCGATGCCATAAAGTTGGATCTCAGAACTAATCAGGACAATGGGCAGTACCTATTTTGGCCTCCATCCTGTACAAATTTAGGGTACATATCTAAGCAAAGGAAGCTTAAGACTTGTCATAAGAATAAATTATATATAATCCATTGTTTATGGAATTATTATGATTATTTTCCTTACTAAAATTATGAGTCCAGTGGCTCTGTTCCAAGAGATTAGCCAATATAGGACATGATTTGTGTATTTCATTATTATTCAGCCTGTTATCACATTGGTAAAGGTCATGACCACATAGCTGATCACTATAGTTAAAACCCGCCAATATGACTAACAAGTTGGCATTTCATCCATTATGTATGAATAATTCACAGTTGCAAAACCAATGCCATAAATCAACACAGTTGCATTACCAGTTGAAAGAAGCCAACTTGAATACCTTCACCTTTCTTCTTATCTTGTAACCTGAGGAGAAAACCAGGGATTTAAAAACCATCTTTCCAAAATAGATAATAAATTCTCCCTATATGGTTTTTTTCCTGAGTCATTCTTTAGTAAGAAAGAAAGTCCCCAACTGGCCAGGAAATTCTGACCCAGCCCAGTATTTATTTATTTATTTATTTATTTATTTATTTATTATTTTTCATTTCATATGTATGCCTGCATGCGTGTAAGTGCACCTATATTGTGCAATACCCACAAAGGTCAGAAGAGGGCGTTGAATTCCCTGGAACAGGAGTTACGGACAGTTGTTAGCTGCCATGTTGGTGCTCAGAATTGAACCTGGGTCCTCTGCAAGACCAGTCAGTGCTCTTAACTGCTGAGCCATCTTTCCAGTCCCCAACCCAATGTTTTAATGGATGTTGTACCCATGGACTCTCAGCAGCTATGATTGCCTGCATGACCTATACAAGATCCCACCAGTTAACATTACAGAATGGACATGGGATGGGCTCACAAGCTCCACCACGAGTTGAAGGGCTACAGGCAATTATGGCTGCTGAGGGAGGGAGAGTCAGTTTTCTTCAGGGATGTTCCCCCTGGTAGGTTGCCATACCCCACTGGCCTGCCCTACCATGTGTTTATAGGCAACACTAATTAGCCTCAGAAGGTTGTGTGTGTGTGTGTGTGTGTGTGTGTGTGTGTGTGTGTGTGTATTAAAAGAAGACATGGGGCTGGAGAAATTATTCAGTAGTTAAGAGCACTAGTTGCTCTTGCAGAGTACCAGGGTTCAATTCCCAGCACCCACATGGTGGCCAACAACCATCTGTAACAGCAGTTCCAAGGGATCCAATGCCCTCTTCTGACCTCTGTGGGCATTGCATGACATCAGGGCACCTATACACGTGCAGGCAGAACACTCATACACATAACATAAAAATAAAAATAATAAATAAATTTTTTGTCTTATTTTTTTGAGACAGGGTCTCCCTGTAGCCACAGCTGGCCCGGAACTCTCTATGTAGACCAAACTGGCCTCGAACTCACAGAGATCCTCTTGCCTCTGTCTCCCAAGTGCTGGGATCAAAGGCATGCACCACCACACCTGGCTATAAATAAAATATTTTTTGGTCTTTTTGAGACAAGGTCTTTCTGTAGCCCCAACTGGCCTGGAACTCACTATGTAGACCAGGCTGACCTCAAACTCACAGAGATCTGCCTGTCTCTGCCTCCCAAGTGCTGGGATTAAAGGCATATGCCACAATGCCCAGCTAATTAAAAAAAAACAAAAAACTTTTTTTTAAAAAGAAGACATGGGGGGCCGGGCCTGGAGAGATGGCTCAGCAGTTAAGAACACTGGTTGTTCTTGCAAAAGACCTGGGTTCGAATCCCAGCACCCCACATGGCAGCTAACAACTGTCCGTAACTCCAGTCCCAGGGGATCCAACAGCCTCTTCTGACCTCTACGGGCATTGCATGACACGGGTGCACTTACCTACATACAGGCAATACATTCATATACACAAAATAAAAATAATAATTAAAATTTTTTTTAAATAAAAGAAGACACGAATTGGAGAAAGTGATTGAGGGAGACCTGGGAGGAGTTAGAAAGTGAATGGTATATATGATCAAAATGAATTGTATTCATGTATCAAATTCTCCAAAAAAATTTTAAACCCCAAATTTTTTACTTCTCCAAGTTTTAGTAGAAATTCACGGAGGTTTTTCAGGCTAATATTGAGACAAAGTAGAAAGTCCTAAATACGCTTAATTATACCAACAAATAACTATTTACCCTCAAGTCGTTACCTTTGACCTATTTATGCCTGTATTTCCTTTGGGTAAATTAAAGTTATTGAATGAACTGATGTTAAAACTTCCTTCTAGCACTTAAGAACTCATAATCACATTAAATAGTTGTATAATGACCAAAAAATCCAATAACATTCCCCTAATTTCCATAAGATTTTTTAATGTTTCTATTTCCTTCCTTTCTCATGAGGATATGCTTACCTCATCTTTAATCTTCTTAACTCCATGGATTGCCACTTAGCCTGAGTCAGCCATACCATAAACAGACCCTGTACCTAGCCAGTTGGTTGTCAACAGAAACCACCAACTTCTGACACATTTAGCTCTGCTGACGCTGTGCAGCTGCCCTGCCTCGTTTCCTCACCTCCTTCCTTCGTCCACTCTCTGGATACATTACATCTGCAGTCCCTTAAGTCTTCCAGTGACTTACAATCAATAAACCCCATCATGATTCGCTCCCTTTTCTATGCATCCCAAATCCTACTGCCTAAATTTGAATCACACCCCTCCCAAGACCCCAATTCTTTCCCAGAACCAATTCTTGGAATCTCTGAATCTTTCCACTGTTTACTCCTTTTCTCCTTCAGCCAGGCTACTGGACCAGCCAGACACCCTCACCCCATGTGCACTGAGGCCAGCACCCTCAGTGCCTAGCCTGAGGTTGCCCTTATCTTCTTTCTAACCTGGAATAGAATCTCAAGTCCAATGTACTCCATGGTCTAGTCCCACGAGCTCTCTAACTTTACCTTCTCCTATTATTTTTTAGTTGTTACCAACCCAGTCACCTACCCTCTTGCTGAGTTTGGTCTTTGCCAAATGTGGTCCTTCCCAAAATACCCTTTTTTAGACACCCACATGGACAGTGACTCCCATCCTTCAGACTTTCCCTCCAAAGGCATCTCAGTGAGGCCTTCCCTGGCCAAAGTCTTTAAAATTTCCATAATATCCACCCTGCCGTGGACACACCATTTGACATCTTCATTCCCAGTTCACAGTAGCTCTCAGTAGCTACCCTGCCATTATGTTTTATTAATTTATGGTGCTTGTTATATCTCCATAGTAAAATGCCCCAGGGCAGAAATTTTTGCTTAGTTAATATTTCCTTTTTTGTATCCTCAACACCACAATAGTGGTTGATACCTTATAAGCATTCAATTAATATGTTTGAAATGAATGAAGCAGTGGAAAGTGTGCTATGCAGCTAACCCACAGCACTGAACTTTACCCTGCTAGATCGCACTGGTTCTCCTCAGCGGCTTCATCTAACTTGCTGTGATTTTTAAATTCTATATTCACTTCCTCTATAAACAACTCAACTTCACCACTCAGCTTCCTCCTCACCTTCTCCCTGTCATCTAGCTACATGCATACCATTTCCTCTTTCACCAGGAAGGAAAATATGACTCTGAGGCTCACGGTTACCTGACTACATCTAGCCCAATGTTAATCTTGCTGCTCCAACTTCCTTCCTCTGTCATGAAGTATTTCAAACTTCTTTGTTTTTAAAAAACATTATTTATTTATTTATTTACTTTATTTATTTATTTATTGGTCTTTTTGAAGCAGGGTTTTCCTGTAGCCCCAGCTGTCCTAGAACTCACTATGCAGACCAGGCTGGCCTTGAACTCACAGACATCCGCCTGCCTCTGCCTCCCAAGTGCTGGGACTACAGGCATGCGCCACCACGCCCGGCTGTTTATTATTTTTATTTTACATGTATGAGTGTATTGCCTGCATGCATGTAAGAGCACTCATGCCATGCAATGTCCGCAGAGGTCAGGAGAGGGCGCTGGATCCCCTGGAACTGGAGTTATGGAAGGTTAGCCATCATGTGGGTACTGGAAATTGAACCCAGGCCCCCTGTAAGAGCAGCCAGTGCTCTTAACTGCTGAGCCATCTCTCCAATCTCTATTTTAAACGTCTTAAAGCAATCTTCTACCAACCTCCATGTCAGGAACTTACCTGGAGCTTCCCTTCTAAAGCAGACCCCATTTAATCCTGCCTTCACTCTGACATTTGTTTACATATGAACTCAAACTCATATGCTGAAGAGAAATACCTAAGAATTAGATTTTAGGTTTATACTACTCACCCCTGGGAAGAAATTGAGGTTTGAGAACCGCTTTATACTCATGAAATCACACTTGTCTAATTTTTCCTCTACTCACGATGGCAGAGTTCAGTGGAAATCTTGTTGTAGTCAAGAAGGAATTTTCCAAAAGGATTTTAAAATCTAACCTACCACAGAATGTTTTAAAGACAAGAAAGGACTGTACATGACATATAAATGTTCATGAAAATTCTCTGCCCTTCGTTTATAGGGATAGTACAAATCATTCTAGAGAAGATGCTATGCTGTTGACATGGTCACTCACCTTGATTTCTTATCATTGTCACCTATGAGGAGAAAAACAATGAACAAAGAGGTTAGTAATAATGTCAAAGTTCAACATTATTACTGTCATAATGATTTTATAATATCACATATCATAATGATTTTATAGTATTATACGTCATAATGATTTTATAGTATTATACGTCATAATGATTTTATAGTATTATACGTCATAATGATTTTCCCTGGAAAATTCATAGGAAGTGCTTCAGTTCATGAAATATTATAAAATGATTGTTTCTCCTCTCTCTCTCTCTCTCTCTCTCTCTCTCTCTCTCTCGGTTGGGACTGCTGCCTTAACTATATATTTTCTGAATATGGAAAGGAATTTTTTTTTTCTTTTTGAGGCAATGTCTTGCACTATAACCTAAACCTGTCTGAAACTATGAAGTCCAGACTGGCCTCAAACTCAATCTCATGGCAAAGCTCTTGCTTCAGCCTCCCAACTGCTGGAATTATGGGCCATTAACACCATGTCTGATGAAAATCACCATTTCTAAATTAGCTAAAATAAAATTAATTTATTGTTTGGTTTCTTAGAAATATCAGAATTTATTTACTAGATTACAAATTAACAGTAAGATATCATTAATACTTGAGATTTTATTTTATCATTAACAGCATGAGATTTGGCTGTGTTAGTCTTCTCAGCACGTGTCAGAGCATGTGCAGGTAGGAGATGAAAGTAGGGATCTACAGCAACTTAAGGAAACCACAGGAAGAAGAATCCTAAGAAACTTTAATTACAATGGCCATTACATTCCAGTTCCCCTGACATTTTAATTTAATTGCAGTAAGACTAAAGAGACATTACAGTGTAGAAAGAGGACTTAAGAATCAGAAAACTGGATTAGACTTATGATTCCATTATTACTAATATGACTTTTTCCAAGTCTTGGTTTCTTTATTGTAAAATATGAAATGATAGAATTTAACGCAGTACTAGCTTGGGCTCTTCTATGCTCACAACATGCCAGGGGCTAGTGCTGCAGGTCCCCCTCACCTGTCTCATTCTTGCCAGTGGATTGTTAGTATAGCACCTCCCAACGAGAGCAACCCTTAACAATTGCTGTCGCCACTGGGGTCAATAATGATGTGGGGATAAAATGACTAATGATGGGCAGTGCTAGAACAACCGTACTCTCGGAAGTTGATACTCATGAGAAATGTCTCCACTCACACTTCGTGTTCTAACGTAGAACTTTCAGATGTGGATTAGATGGCTTCTAGAGAAATCCCTATGGTTGTATGTCAGATTCATACATAATAATACTTCCACAAATTATAACTGATTTTTCTCTACTTCTAGAAATAGCACTAGTTTGCCTCACTTTCTACCGCTCTTTGTACAAGAGGCAAGGAAAGTCAAAGGCCACTTACATGATCCATCTGATTCAAAAGCATGATTCTCCTCTCCACATTTCTTCACACCGCGAAGAATTACTGAGTCTGTCATTGTGTCTACAAGCTGCAGTTGGCAACCCTATACAACAAAAAGAATTGCCACAATTATTGTATTTTTCTCTTCTTTAACCAAAGTCACTGAATGAAAGAAAAATTTAGCTCAAGAAATATGCTTCCCCAATCAATCTCAAACAAAAGCAAGTATTTTAATTGAGTAATACCTCAGTGAAAGAGTCTAAATACTAGACTTTGTTTACTTGATGGGTGGATGGTTGATTTTGTTTGTTCTTTTTGCTTATCTGTACTTTTAAATTTTTTAACAAATTAGCATAAAAATCACAGGAGAACAAAATCAACTGGTGGCATTTTTTACTAAGTGTAATTGGCAAAATAAATTTCCAAGTCCTTTCAGGTAGCCTCTGGTGCTCTTTGGTAAGCACCGTCCCTAGGTAAGGCAAGTCTAGCTGGGAACAGAGGAAGCATAGCCACTGAATGAATGTAAATGTCTACAAAGTTAGGATTAGTCTTAACCATAGTTCTCTTTACTAACTTTCTCTGCTTCAAATATATGACGATGGGAATTTTAAAAATGTCTATGCAAGACAATAGAAATCAATGTCTCTATGAATCATAAATGGAAGAGGAGTATCAAATGCCAGAAGAGCACAGAAGTAGTTGGCATTTTCATTGTAGGTTCTAGACTTAGACAGGGGAGTTGAGAGTTTAGCTCCTAAAAGGACTAGAAGTTCCCCCACTAAACAGGGGAGTAAAGATCCCCTCTCTACTTGGAACTGTAGTTATTGTGAACCTTCTGCACTTCTGGGAAGCCCCTGAGATCCTGCTGCCAATCATTGCCTGTGGAGTTACATATTTTGGTGAAATGAAGACCTTTGAAGGCTATATAAAAAGACAGTGATATACAGTATACATACACATATCTGTATGTGATATAATAGATACAGATAAAAAAGTTGAAGTGGAGTTGTGAAAAGCTCCCAACTTTATCTAATTGGAATCACAGAAAAAGAGAATGACAGATACAATAATTAAAGGGAAAATAATTACTAATAATTTTCTAGAAGCAGTGATCTGGTTCTTCAGGTTAATAGTGTCATACACTGAAGGACTAGAGAGGTGGGGCTTTGGGGAAGTGATTGGGTCATGACAGCTCTGTCTTCATAAATGGATTTAATCTATTTCCCAAATCCAAACTTTGAATAGGCTATTGGAAAATTGTGGGACCTAACAGCTGTTCTGAGAGAGACTGTCATTTTCTTTAGTGGCAGCCACTGTTAACTGCCTTTGCTCCAGTAAATAACTTCCCACCCATGGTCAGGCAAGAAACTCTAATTAAAACTCAGCCACACACAAAAAAGAAAACATGAAAGTAGGAAAAAGATTGTGAGGAGAATTCTTGCAGGAGACATAGAGATGAGAGAGAGCACTGGGCATGAAAAGGATGAAATACTTTATATAATGAAATTGTCAAATAATAAAGTATCTAAAAACTCCAGACCATTAATAAGCAACCAAAATTTCTATATATAACTATATATATATATATATATATATATACTGTTCTATTTTAAATATACATTTTGACATAAAAGCATTTGAATCAGAAATAAAAGATTAAACCAAGGAAAATACACATTTGTATTCAGTAAAATTATGCGTGTATTAAAAACCTTAAAATACATATGTAGGAGCTGGAGAGATGACTCCGAAGTAAAGAGCACTGTCTGCTCTTGCAGAAGACCCGGGTTCAAATCCCAGCACCCACATGGCAGCTAACAACCATCTGTAACTCCAGTTCCAGGGGATTTGACACCCTCTTCTAGCCTCTGTGGGCCTTGTACTTACATACATGTAGGCATAACACTCATACATATAAAATAAAAATACATATGTAAACAAATATGTGTCAAAGATGAAATCACAACAAAAAATAGAAATTAAGAACTAATACCTACTTTTTTTTCTTTTCTTTTTTTCTTTTGTTTTTTGAGACAAAATCTTCCTGCAGCCCCAGCTGGCCTGGAACTCTCTTTGTAGATTACCCTGGCCTCAATCTCACACAGGTTCCCCTGTCTCTGCCTTCTAAGTGCCAGGATTAAAAGCATGTGCCACCATACCCAGCCCCCGAACAAATAACTATTAAAGATATTCAATACTCGATATTCAAAAGTGATCAGACCTTCCCCCACCCCCAGAAAAGCCAAAAGAGCTAGAATAATATCATAGACAAGTTTTACCAAAATTTCAAAGACTAAGTAATTCTGATATTGCATTTAAATTGGATTTTTACTTAAAGGTTTTTAAAAGACTATTTTGTTTTTAGTTAACTTGTGCATTATAGGAAGCAAAAACTAGAAACAAAGGACAAGATCATCAAAAATATGGAATGCTTCACAAATTTGCATCATCCTTGCTCACGGACCGTGTTAATCTTCTTTCTATTGGCCTAGGTTTTGTAAATCAGCTGCTGAAGTGAACACTATAAACTGTTTTGTTAAAAAGAGGAAGGCTGCTCGACTCACTTAAAAGGCAAGTTTAACCATGACATCAGAACAAGAATGTTGTATGAAAAAAATAGACTTAAAATGACTTGAAAACTGATTTTAAAAGGTAAGTAATATACATTAATATAATTCAGTGTCTTATGAAATATGGTGAAGCAATGTTGATTTGGAGCATGCAATTTAGTAAGACAGTGGATCATTTTAATAGATTCAGAAAAACATTCAATAAAAATCAATATCCATTCCTGATCAAAGACTTGTAAAATTAGAAAAACCACCATTTTACAACCCCAACAAATAATTTTGGGGTCAGGATCAGCAATGAATACTAAAAGCATTTACCAAAATACTGGCGAGGATTCAGCTCTGATAGTCCAAATGCCGTGAAGACGGAGGCAGAGTTCTTTTTGGCACACTTGATAAAAGCATAAACCAACCGAGTAACTTTGAAGTGAATTTGGAAAGAACCGGTAAGTCTATGTTAGTAGCTAATGTTCCAGAAATCCTATTCTGTAATTTTCTCTAATAATTAAAAAATCCACACTACAGTGACATTTAGTATACGCGAGGCACTGTTCTAAATGCTTTACATATGTTGTGCTTTTAAATCATTACAGAAAGCAACGGTGAAATGACTCAGTGGGTAAAGGTGCTTGCTCCCGATCCTCTGTTCAATCCCAGAACCCACGTGGTGGAGAGAACTGACTGTACAAATTGCCCCCTGAATTCCACAAACCGTCCTCCGAATTCCAATAAGTTAAAACATTAAATCCTTACAAGAACCTTCTGAGATGAAAATTATTTCTCTCATTTTTCCAGACACTGAAACTAAGGCATGAATGGGGTTAATTGTCACATACTCAAGACCACGGGTTAGGAGTTAGTAACTGATGGAGCCTAAATTCCAACTCATATGGGAGATAGATGTAGAGACACGTATTCGCATGTTTATTGCAGCATTTCTTTGAAATAAAAACTTGACAAAATTATAACAAACGAGCGTGACTCCAGAGCTCCTAGAACAGCGTGTGGAGTAATGCCACCTACCCAGTAGTCAGCAAACTGGCGGGAATAAATCACAACAAACAATTTAAGTAAGGAGGAGAGGGTTTAATAGAGATTGCATGCAATGCCATTTATAGGAAGACTTTACTGCATGTCAATACTTCGAATGTCTAGGATACAGAGATGGCTCAGCAGTTAGGGACACTGGCTGTTCTTGCAGAAGACCTAGGTTCGAATTCCAGCACCCACATGGCAGCTAACAACTGCCGGTAACTCCAGTTCCAGGGGATCTGACATCCTCTTCTGTTCCCCAAGGGCACTGCACGACATGGGTGCACTTACCTACATGCAGGCAATACACGAATACACATAAAATAAATTAACAAATAAAATATTTAAAAAGAAAAATAAATGTCTAGGACACACAGACTTGTCTGAAAGTGAACGGCACAGAATGACAAAGGCCATTTCTGAGGGAGGACTTCAGAGCCTGAGCTGTCTGTAAGCTGTGATTTTTTAAAAAGCAAAGTCTCAGCAAGTGTAGTTTAATTTTAAGATAAATAGCCTGGAAAGAGGTAATGGTTTGTTAAAACCTCTCTCTAACCTTCCCCATGCTTTAAAAATATTATACAACCAAAAATATTTTTGTTTTACAAACCCTGATGTAATTGCCTATAATTGAAAATATAAAGCAGGTTTAGAGTTGTAGAAAAAATTGTTAAGATAATCAGAGTTCCTGTGTATGTCACACTACTTATTAACATCTTACATTAGTATGGCCCATTTGTTACAGTTAATAAACAAATAGTGGTGCATTTATTGTTATTATTAAAATGCATTGTTTAATTCCGTGAACTTTAATCTATTTCCCTTTTCTGTTTCCTCATTCCAAGACACCAAAATTCCCAGATGGTGCTAAATGGCCTTGGTCCTTGAGCCCTCCCTCTGACAGTTCCTCACTCCTTCTTTGTTCTGGCTAACCAGTAAGTGTCTGTGAGTGCTGACCATTTCTCATGGTAGAGTAAGTTACATGGTTTAGGGAGGACAACTACAGAAGCAAAACTCCCTTCTTATTACATCATTTCTGGAGTTTATATTATCATGTATGTGACTTTTTTTTATTAAAAAGCAAGAACATATGTGGTGGTTTACACCTGTAATTCTACCAGTTAGGAGGCTAAATCATGATTGCCATGGGCAGGGCTGACCTGGGCTACAGAGTGAAACTGTGTCTCGAAATATCAATAAATAAACAACAAATTAATTAATTAAAAAATAGAATAAGAAGAAGTTGTTTATGAAATCAGTGAGAAACTGCCAAAACAACCAAATTCATAATTTATTTAACACAAAAATGTGTTTGATATAACAGTACAGTTGCTGGTTTTATTGTTTTTGAAGCTTTGACAGTTTTTTTCAAAAAGCAAAGAAATCCTTCAAAAATTAAAAGATAATAAAGCAACATTTAATCATAGTTATAATATTGTATTTTTAATGTTATATAACTCAAAGACAGCTTTTTTGTTTTTTTTTAAATTTTTATTTAAAATTTAATAACCACATGATTAGAAGAAGCATTTCGTTATAGCTTTAACATATTCAGTAACACCTTCCAGAGCAAGGATACAACTCTTTCAAAAATGGCTGTAAA